TACAACCCACACTTCTGCTGATGCTGGGATAATAACATAGAAGACCTCTGTACAAGCTGGAAGTGTCCTTGTTTTACTGGATGCAGCTATGGTGAAGTGACACTTGTTTTTTATGTAACATACTAGATAGAACCCACACATCCAAACAAAAGAAGCTATACTTTACAAGCAGTGACAGCACACTCCAAAAATATAGCTGTTGCTCAAAACATTTGTGCAACAGTCTTCCGTCTGCATCAAAAAGCCTCATTGTTTTATTTATTGCTCTTTTTAAATTTTTTTAACCAAAAAGGATATATCCCTAACCTTTTCTCTTTATTCATCATACTTGACACTCAAAGACTCAAAGAGTTTTGACCACCCAGGTGCCCTGCCAAACCACTGCTCTGAGAAAGCAACCCCACCCCCAGATGGTGAGAATCTGATTTCAGATGAATGCAATACACAGGCAGAGAACTGGTCAGGGGCTGGGAGGCTCTTGAGATTTGGAGAAATCTTAAGCAAATTTAGTCCTCAGATGGCATCAGGCTGGCAGGTACAGATGCAATATTTGATACTTGTCTACCAGATGGGGAAGCTGGAGGAGGAGAGGAAGGGATGAGAATGCATGTCAGCAATGGCTAAGAGCCAGGTAGGCCCCAGAGATGCCCTACCCCTTCCCTGCCCTTTTCATGCATGTGAAAGAGTAAAAGTCATAAAGCCAGCAAGGAGCACACCTGGGCCTATCAGGGAGAAATCAGAGGGAGGGCAGGCAGGGCTGGGGAGAATGGGGGTGGTGGTAGACACCATCAGTTTAGTCTAAAAGAAGAAAAGACTGAGGGCAGAGGCTCCAGGAAGGTTAACGGGGAGAACATGATGTAGCTACTGAGACAGCAGTGTGCCCTGTCACCTTGTGGCTTATCCAGAAGCAGGATGAGCCCCAGGTGTGCTGGAAGCCTGCAGCAATGAAATGGTGCCTGCCTCCTGCCCCTGCTCTTCCTGCAGCTGTCTCTGAACACCCCTCCTCTTCAAGGTGTTCACTCCCAGAAGAATGACTCACTACCTGGGTCACACACAGTAGGGGCATGTCTGCAGCCATAAATCCAGCAGCCTCCTCTGGAGGAGACTCATCCTGACGGAAGCAGCTCTGCCTGCGGGCCTGGACTTGCTACTCTTTTGAGCCAGGAAGGGGAGAGGCCAGCTGGCCAGAGGGTAGTTATCTCTCCCCTTCCTGTGGCACACTCTCATGGAGAAGAAAGTACAGAGATTGCACTTTGGTAGGGCCGCAAAGGATACAGTCTTGGGAGGCTTAATAGAGGAAATATTAAATCAATGAAACCTCATTTCCAAGTTCGGTTTAGCAGCAGAATCCATTAACCTTATATTCACCCTCTCCTTTCCTCTTATAATACTGAGGAAGGGTTCAAAGGCATGATAACTTATCCTCAGGGTCAGCGCGTTCTATTCAATTACTGGAATTCGAGTTTTCAAGCTAAAAGATATATACTCATTTCGATTGTAAAGAACAAACCCAAAAAGAATGCTTCTTTCTTTTCATTTTGCAGAAAACACCACACAAACACAACCATGGGTATTTAGCTCTGCTGAAACAGATGAGGGGAGTAAGGCTGAGAGAGGAGCTCAAATCAGTTCTGATTTTTCTCTTCATAAAAGAATTTCCAGCAAATCAAGAGCAAAGTTGGATCCGATTGTCTCTGGAACTAAGGCCACTCAATGTGGGCTTCGTCACTCAGTCTTGTCCCCAGGCCAGAGCAAAGCAAAGCTCAGTCTCATTTATTTTGTCACCTAAATCGTCAAAACCTAAAATAAAACCTGGTACAACTGCAGAAACATGGTGCTCTAGGGAGCACTGGGGCAAGTCATTCCCACCAGCCAGCCTTCTGGATGGATAATTGTGAAGTGCTGACCTCTCTGGTGGCATACTAATGGTCAAGGGCTGGGCTGGGCAAGAGGCTGGGTAGGGCGGGCCAGGCTGGGCTGGACTGGACAGGGCAGGGCAGCCTGAGCTTGGATAATCAGATGCAGCTCTCATTAAACCTTCAGCGTGAGAGCAGCATAGCATCCTGATGCCGTTGCCATGGCATTTTCTCCCGCCTGGTGTGGGACCCAGGCCAGGATGCCCTGAAGCCTTGATGCTGACAGCAGTGATAGTGCTGGCTCTGAGCATGATTTTCTGCCCACCCACCCTCCTGTGCTCTCTGAAACCTAAGGCAGCCCTGTTTAGAAGAGCCTCGCAATCCAGCGGCTTGGCTTTTTGGCTGCCGCTTTCTACACTTTGATGTTAAATATAGTGACTTCAGAAGCAGCCAACACCAGAAGGCAAAAGAGGGCTGGTTTTAGCATTTTGCATTCAGCAACATCCTTTTAGTGAGAATGAAGAAGAAAACAGACAAATCATCTACCTCCCCAATCATTAAGAGTGTTGGGGCTGGGTGTGGTGGCTCACGCCTGTAATCGCAACACTTGGGGAGGCTGAGGCGAGTGGGTAGCCTGAGTTCAGGAGTTAGAGACCAGCCTGGCCAACATGCCGAAACCTGTCTCTACTAAAAATACAAAAATTAGCCAGGCATGGTGGCACGTGCCTGTAATCCCAGCTACTTGGGAGGCTGAGGTTGCAGTGAGCCGATATCACACCATTGCACTCCAGCCTATACCATGGAGCGAGACTCTGTAACAAATAGTAATAATAATAATAATCCCTGAGTCCTACCCCATACCATTCAAAGTAGAACCTCTGAGGCATGAAGCTCAGGTATTGGTATGCTCTAGAAGCTCCCAGGTGGTTCTCTTGTGCAACCAGGGCTGAGATACACAGCTTAGAGGAAGGGATGCTAACATGGTCATTCATCTAGTGTAAGTATTGCACTGCTGCCGAGTGCTAGGTACTGGGGACATAGTGGAAGGCAAGACAGACCTAGTCCCTGCCCTCACGGAGCTCACAGCCCAGAGGGGGAAGGGAGTCAAGTGACCCTGGTTCTAGTCCTGGCTCTGCCACTGATGATCCTGAGTTCCTGTACCTTTTTCTTTTCTTCTGCAGGCCCTAAGTTTCCTGTCAAAGGATGTTACAGAGCCAAATGATCTCTGATCCCCACTCTGCTACTCCCCAACTCAACAGTCCATTGACCTATATATAATTTTTCTGTCTTTTTTGGTGGTTGTTTTTAAAATACACATAACATTCAATTTACCATTTTAACCATTAAAAAAAAAATTGTTTTGAGACAGTCTCTCTGTGTCACTCAGATTGGAGGGCAGTGGTATGATCTTGGCTCACCGCAACCTCCGCCTCCTGGGTTCGAGGGATTCTTCTGCCTCAGCCTCCCAAGTAGCTGGGACTACAGGCACACGCCCAGCAAATTTTTCGTATTTTTAGTAGACACAGGATTTCATAGTGTTAGCCAGGATGGTCTCGATCTCCTGTCCTTGTGATCTTCCTGTCTCAGCCTCCCGAAGTGCTGGGATGACAGGTGTGAGCCACCGAACCTATCCAAAAATTTTTTTTTTTTAAGAAACAGGGTCTTACTCTGTCACCTAGGCGGGAATGCAGTGGCGCAATCATATCTCACTGCAGCCTCAAACTCCTGGATTTAAGCAGTCTTCCTGCCTCTGCCTCATTAGTGGTTGGGACTGCAGGCGCAAGCCACTATACTCAGCTAATTTTTAAGTGTTTTGTAGAGACAGTGTCTTGCTCTGTTGCCGAGGTTGTTCTCAAATCCTGGCTTCAAGCAACTCTCCTGCCTCAGCCTCCCAAAGTTCTGAGATTATAGGTGTGAGCCATCTCGCCTGGCCCATATTAACCATTTTAAAGTGTACAGTTCAGTGGCATTAAGTCCGTTCACATTGTGTGCAACCATCAACACTATCCAGCTCCAGAACTCTTTCATTTTCCCCAAACTGAAATTCTGTGTTCATTAAATAATAACTCCCCATCCCCCCTCAACAGCCTTTGGCAACCACCATTCTACTTTCTCTCTCTAAATTTGACTCTGTGTACTCTATGTACCTCATATGAGTAGAATTATCTAGTATTTGTCTTTGAGAATGGCTTAGTTCACTGAGCGCAAGGCCTTCAAGGTTCAGCCATATTGTGCATGCAAGAGGATTTCCTTCCTTTTTAAGACTGAATAATATTCCATTATATGTGTATCCAATTTGCTTATCCATTCATTAGTTGATGGACACAGGCTGTTTACACCTTTTGGCTGTTGTGACTAATGCTGCTATGAACATGACTCTAAATTTCTTCTCAAGGCCCTGCTTTTAATTCTTTTGGGTATGTGCTCAGAAGTGGAATTGCTAGATCATACGGTAACTCTGTGTTTTAATTACCATACTGTTTTCCACAGCAGCTGTACCATTTTACATTCCCACCAAAAGTGTAAAAGGGTTCCAATTTGTCTATATCCTTGCCAACACTTGGTATTTTCAATTTTTTTGATAGTAGCCATCCTAATGGGTGTGCGGTGATACTGCAATTGATTTTTAATAATCCCAATAGCAAATGCCTGTAGAGTACTGACTCTGTGCCAGGGTCTGTTCTAAGTGTTTCATGTATATCAGCCCATTTAATTTTCATAACAAATGTATCAGGTAAGTACTGTTGTTTTCACTAGCTTTGGCACCTTGAAGTTAAATCATTTACCCAAGACCATACAACCAGTAAGTAGCAGAGCCTGTATTTGAACCTAGGTAGTTTGGCTCCAGACTCTACGGGCTCACAAATCTAACATCCTCATGTTTGGGGTGATTTTTGATGGCTTAGGCCTGTCATAAGCTTTTCAGTCTAGAGTTTGGTGAATGAAGAACCTAGTTATAGCACCAGCCCTCAGGCCAGGACCTCCCCCCGGATGTTCTCTTGTGATAGCAGCACCCCTAGAACGGCTCTGTTGGCTCAGCCATCTGTTTAGGAAGAATGTGGTGGTTCTGGTCTCTTCCCATTTCCTGCCAAGGCTCACTTATTCCAAGAGAAATGTAAACCCATTTTCTCTCTGATTTCACAGAAAAGGCAACAGATGGCTCCCTGCAAAGTGAGGATTGGACGTTGAATATGGAGATCTGTGACATCATCAATGAGACGGAGGAAGGGTATGTGTGCCCCCCTCTCCTGGGAAGCCTCTCTCAGCTTTTAGGGGTCACTCAAAGCTTGTCAGGGCCTAAGGGTGGCAGGTTTCACTTTTTGTTTCGTTTTTAGTCTGTTTGCTTTGGCATTAATAGGCTGACACTCTGAATTATCTGTCCTTTTTGTCTTCATCCCTCCCCCACTTGCCCAATGGCAGTGCTGGAGGTAGAGCAGGGAAGACCTCTGTTAATCACCTGCTTTTAATCACAAGTGGAAATGAAGCTGCTTGATTACTTGGTTCCCAGTGGCCATTAGTCTCTGCGCCCAAATGTCACCTCTTCCCTCCCCTTCTCCCTGGCCTCTGCCTCTCCTTCGCAGCCTGTCTCTGCCCTGGTTTGCCAGGAGTTAGAGAGCACCACAGTGTCTGTGGAGGGAGGTCCAGGGCATGGAGCAGACACGGCCGGGAGTGGGAAAGTGACGTGAATGTACTTAGCCCACATTGCCCCGCCTGCATTTCTGCACAGCTGGATGCGTTCTTGTTATTGTTTCCTGTATCTTCTTCTGCTTTATAGATGCACTCTGTTTGTACTTCTTCCAAATTGGTCTGTATTTAGCCCTACGTCCGTACCACGAACACTTGTTTTACTGTAACCATGCCCCCTTAAACAGTTTTCAGAGTGGCAAGGAGGGCAGCCAGGACTCAGGCATCCCTGGACTGGCATCTCAGCACTGTCACTCTAGCCTTGCCATGTGCGAACTGGGGACCAGCCCCTTGAGCTTGGTCCTGCTTTTATGCAACAAATATTTCTTGAGTGACTACCTTATGCCAGGCCCTATTATAAATACTGAGGACACAGCAGTGAACAAGACAGACTGCTTCTCCTCGGGGAGCTGCCAGTCTAGAGTTGGGAGGCAGACCATAAACAAGATAATTAAACATATAACCTGTTCAGGTGAGGACAAGACTGTGGAAGGGAGATGGGAAGAGAGCAGGATGGGAAGAGAGGAGGCTGGTCATGACAATGACCCCTCAACAGCTTCTCTTTGCGCTCTTCAACCCCGCTAATCTTTCAGCTCCTTGAATTTTCCATGTTTCTGGGCCCAGCTTGAAATTCTCCACAAATTTGAGCAATACACAAGAATGTTGGCAACTCTTATTTTCCAATGAATTGCTCAAACATCTCTATGGTTTGAGGGCAGGAAGCCCAGGAACTCCGGGAGCTGCCTCGCTCTGAAGGGGCTAATGCCTTCCTTTTCAAACCCTCAGCTCCCAGAAGGCTGGCCACACACATCTTCCTCTTCAAGTGGCCCAAGCTCCTGTTGCTCCCTTTTTGAGTGAGAGCCCCTCAGTGATTCCTGATAATGTTCTCTCCTTGCCTCTGCTATGAGGTATCTCAAAATGTCTTCCCACCTGGATGCACTGGCTCATGCCTGTAGTCCCAGCTATTCAGGAGGCTGAGGTGGGAGGATTGCTTGAGGCCAGGAGTTTGAGACCAGCCTAGAAAATGTAGTGAGACCCCATATCTTAAAAAAAAATTTCTTCCTAAGTGGGAGAAACTCCTGCAAGTTGGACTGACAGTAGGTTGCCCCACCTACACCTTTGTGCCCTCCCTGAAGGGCGTCTGACCTACTGTCCCTTCTGTTCCCATCACCTCGATCCCATCATTCACTGGATCTGTTTGAATCTCATTTTTCTAACTCCCTTCCCTCCTGAATTGAACAAGTCCTCTGCTACATGATTTCATAACCTGTGTTGTACTGATGCTCATCACAGTTTAAACTTATAAATCTGTGGGACAGTTACTAGTGTCTGTCTTGCCCTGCAATCCCCATGAGGCTGGGAGCTCCAGGAGGATTTCCTTCTGTTTTGCTCACCGTTTTATCCCTAGTACCTAGCACAATAAGTGTGATTAGCTCTTGATAAATATGTGTTAAATAAATGAATAAATGAATGAAGTCTCTAAGGCACTCATAGTCTGATGAGGAATGCAGGCATATAAACATAAGCATAACACAGCATGACGAGTGCTGGGTGCGGGGAGGGAGAAAGAGAGAGAGAAGCTATATATAGCTACGGAGGCTAGTGCAGTGGTAGTGGCCAGCCATGGGACTCTTGGCAGCAAAGCCTTCTTGGAGGAGGTGACACCAGAGTGGAGTCTTACAGGGTGCCAGGGTATCAGCCAGATGAGGCAGGTGGAGGAAGGGGAGGAAATGGACATTCCAGGCTGGAGCAATCCAAGGTCACCACTCACTTACTGTGTGACCCTGTGTGAGCTACTCATCTCTCTGTGTCTGTGTCTCGTTTCCTCGTTTATAAAATGGGATTGCCAATAATACCTATCTCATAGAGTTGTTATAAGGATTAAAGGAGTAAATATATATGAAGTATGTGGCTATGTAACTGTATCTTCGTATCCATACTCTATATATGGATTTACGATTTCCCTTTAAAGATTTCCATTGCCCATGACTCTTGTCATCATTCACTTGGGTGTCAGTTATCTGCCCAGTCTTGGTGATGATCTCTGTGGATTCACTGCCCTTACCCTGTCTGCCATCTCTGAGCACTTGCCACGTGCCAGGCCCTGTGTCCAGCCGTGCCATACGTTTATCACAAGCAGCGCCCCCACCACCCCCAACAGTTCTATATGGTAGTGACAGCCAGTTTCAGTGTTAAGGAAACTTAGGCCGAGTAGTTTGGGCACTTGCCAAAGGCCCTGCAGCCCAGCTCAGAAGCGCACATGCAGGATGCAGGCACAGGCTCACCTGGCTGCTGCCGCTAAAGTGCTGCCTGTACATCTTGTGTTTGTGTAGTGCTTTACCAATGGGAGGCTGTGGTCCTAGTGGGTGCAGATTGGTAAATTGCCCAGAGGCCTTTCCTTGGCCTTTCCCTAATGTCCAGGGCTGAGGTCACCATCAGCCTGAGGAATGCTGGTGCCTAAGGCCTTGTGTGATAGTCCCTCAGATATTAACTAGGAGTGGCTGACTGAATAACCTACCTGGGACTGTTTTTATTTATTTATTTTATTTTTTTGAGACAGAGTTTTGTTCTTGTCACCCAGGCTGGAGTACAAAGGCGCCATCTCAGCTTACTGCAACCTCTACTTTCCAGGCTCAACCAATTCTCTTGCCTCACCCTGTGTAGTAACAGGGATTACAGGTGTGCACCACCACACCTGGCTAATTGTGTATTTTTAGTAGAGGCGGGGTTTCACCATGTTGGCCAGGCTGGTCTTGAACTCTTGACCTCAGGTAATCCGCCCACTTTGGCCTCCCAAAGTGCTGGGATTATAGGCTTGAGCCATAGTACTTGGACTGGGACTGTTTTAGACTGTTTTCCAGGCCTCACCCCAGACCTGCCCAATCAAGGCACAGCTTGTGGATTTGGGAATTGCACTCCAGGTGACTCTGACGTGCAGCTCTCATGAGGACCCACTGACCTAGGTCATTTTCATGGCCATCTCTGGACCCTCCTCAGCCACAGAATCTTTGTCTGTGTTCTACCTGCTAAGCTGGAGAGGGCACAGAGGAGGAACTGAAGACATGCAATAAAGCAAGGTAATAACTGGGGAGGGGGTGTTCAGGGTGATGAAAGAGGGGCAGCCGTGTCCCCCTTGAGGGTAATGAGGTGAAAGCTTTTCCAGAGAGTAGTTCTGAAGGTGAAAGACAAAGAGACTTAAAGACTGTGGCTGGAGGCATGACAGGAAGCTTGTTTGGGGATCAGGAAAGAGTTCTTGTAAGTCTAGGGTCCAGGGAGACTTTGAGGAGCCTGATCATGGCCCAGAGGTGAGCACTGCCTGAGGAGCCTGACCTTTCCCCTGAAAGCTGCCAGGGCTTGGTGCCATCTCAACACAGGCCACTGATTCTTCCTGATCCTTTCTTTCTGCTCCATCTGGCTCTTGACACACGCTTCTCTCTCTTCTCCTGGTTTCCAACTCCATACTATCTAATCTGCTGCAGCTTCTTGAAACTTTGTGATTCCTTTGACATGACTTTGATCCTCCTCTCTGAAGCTTCTCCCCCGGGGAGAGAGATAAATACTTGCTTTTGTGCTCACCCATCACTCTCAGCCAGTACTTCCCAGAGCCTGTGGATGAATTTCCATTTTAAACCTCACCCAGGAACCTGCTGACTGTCTGATTTCCCACCCCGAGGCCCCCACACCAGGAGAGCCCTGAATGTGCTGGTGCTCTGCCAGCCAGAAGTGATCGCAGCCCTCAGGTGCTCTTCCTATTTTCCTGTTCCATGGAAGTTCAAGAGGACAGAAGAGAGACAGGACTGGGGGATGTGGCGGCTGTGGGTCAGGGACAACAGTGGTTTGGCAGAGCCTTGGAGAGAGGAAATCAGTCCATGCTCTTGGCCACTAGCCACTGAATTTCATCAGCTCTCAGGCCACAAACAGCCCTCAACGCAGAGAGCTGGTTAAGTCCCATATTTGCAGAAATCAGCATCCCCTTTTGGAAATGGCAGCTGTACTGCAGACATACTTGGCCTTGGGCCCAGTCCCCATGGAGCCTTGTGTCTCATCTGCCCTTTGACCCGGGGGCCAAGAATTCCTGCAAGGCAGCCATATGTCAAGCTGGGAATGGGAAACAGGTGATTCAGGGTGTTTTAAAATTTTCTTCCAAAGCCTTGCTCCTTTCACCTTTTTTTTATTTTTGAGATGGAATCTCACTCTGTTAACCCAGCTGGAGTGCAGTGGCATGATCTTGGCTCACTGCAACCTCCACTTCTCAAGTTCAAGTGATTCTCTTACCTCTGCTTTGAGAGTAGCAAGGATTACAAACACATACCACCATGCCCAGCTAATTTCTTTGTATTTTCAGCAGAGACAGGGTTTCACCATGTTGCCTAGGCTGGTCTTGAACTCGTGACCTCAAACAATCTACCTGCCTTGGCCTCCCAAAGTGCTGGGATTACAGGCATGAGCCACCATGCTTGGTCTACTTTCTCTTAAATTAAGCTGATTAGCAGAGCATCTACTCTTTCCCTTCTTCAACTTCCTCATATACATTTGAAGGAGCCCTTTCATTTGGTAAATAGAGTATAAATGTTTTAAAACTGTAGGAATAGGAGAGCCCTGACTTACAAATATTCAAGCTGGGAAACACCAGTGTATTGGCACATAGATTAGTGGAAGGCTGGAATCCATGTGTGATAGCAAAGGGCTGATCCACAGCCAGACTAAGGACTCCCCAGAGCATAGGGTGATGGGTCAGCACAGGGACTTTGTGCCAGGGGCAGCTTCTAGGCCCACAGCTTTGTTGAATCCTGAGTTAGAATAAATTAAATAATATGTTAGACATAAGACCTACTTTAATATGTATACTTAGAGGGCTGGCTGAGGATCCTAACTCTAAGATATAACAGTAATTAAGGAAGAACTCACTCTAACTTCCATACAACTTCACTCCAACTTTTGGACATGGCCCATTTGTGAACTGAGGACTGCCTGTAATTCTACAGGATTTTCTCTAGGGATCTACCTCAGATCTGTCACCTAAAAGCACTAAACTTGTTGGGTTTTAAGGAGACTCACTTAAGCTTTCTCTGGGAAAAAGAGTTCCATGGAATTCAGGAAGAGCTGGACATCCAGGCCTCACAAGTACATGGTACTCTCTCTTCTGTGTCTCTCTTATGGTTTCTCTGGAAAAACTCTCTTCTATGTACCCACACACTAGTGGGTTAGTTATGGTGTTGAATAAATAATACTTGCATGTGATACAGTATTCAAAAGGTCTGCAGAAAGGCAGTCCAGTGAAAAACCTCCCTCCCACCTTTGGTTCCCTTCCTTAGGGGCAGCCACAGATCCCAGGTTGTTATAGCTCCTTCTAGAGATTCTCTTCCCTACGCTGGCTTGTGTGCTATGTCTGCTTTCCTTCTTCTTCTTTTTTTTTTTTTTTTTTTTTTTGAGGCGGAATTTCACTCTTGTTACCCAGGCTGGAGTGCAATGACACGATCTCAGCTCACCGCAACCTCTGCCTCCCGGGCTCAGGCAATTCTCCTGCCTCAGCCTCCTGAGTAGCTGGGATTACAGGCATGCGCCACTATGCCCAGCTAATGTTTTGTATTTTTAGTAGAGACGGGGTTTCATCATGTTGACCAGGATGGTCTCGATCTCTTGACCTTGGGATCCATCTGCCTCGGCCTCCCAAAGTGCTGGGATTACAGGCTTGAGCCACCACATTCAACGTATGCTTTCCTTCTATAACTCAACTAATAGCAAACTTTGTACACTGTTATGCAAAGAACTTTGTGCATGTGTCTTTGAGTTTGGTCCATACTGGTGCAAGAGTTTCTTTATTCTTTTTTGCAGCTGCATAGTATTCCATTGTGTTGATTTAATTTAACCTGTTTTGTATTGATGGGCATTCAGTTTGTTTCTAGTCTTTTACATTTACAAACATACTGCAGCCAGCAAATAGTTTTGCATATATGCTACATATCTGTAGGATCATATCCCCAAGTGGGACTGTAAGTGTCTTAAAATGTCTGTCCTTTTCTCCAGGCCAAAGGATGCCATTAGAGCCCTGAAGAAGCGGCTCAACGGGAACCGGAACTACAGAGAGGTGATGCTGGCATTAACAGTGAGTGCTACTCTCCTTGGGGAGGGAAGGCATCTGGGGAACTCCTTGCTTCCGGCCTTGCCCCCCTCATAGGGCCTTCCTTCTGCCCACTCAGCACAACCTAGGAATGGCTTGGTGCCTGGGCCACTGGAATCCAGCAAAGCCTTCTGATACTGCCTTTGGGTTTTCCTGTCCTCTGAAACAGGGAATGAGCTTCAATTTAGTGAATGTATATCCGCAAAAGATAAGGTGTGTGCAGTGCTGTCAGGTACAAAAGCCCAGAGCAGAGGAGCTAAAGGTCTGGAGTAGGTCCCTTTTCAGCCAGCAACCTGCTCTGAGACTGAAACCAGCTCCTTCTCTAGATGTCAGTTTCCTCTTTATAAAAATGTTGACCAGGTGCAGTGGCTCACACTTGTAATCCCAGCACTTTAGGAGGCTGAGGTGGGTGGATCATGAGGTCAGGAGTTCGAGACCAGCCCGGCCAATATGGTGAAACCCTGTCTCTACTAAAAATATAAAAAATTAGCCAGGTATGGTGGTGCGTACCTGTAGTCCCAGCTACTTGGGAGGCTGAGGCAGGAGAATCGCTGGAACCTGGGAGGCAGAGGCTACAGTGAGCCGAAATCATACCACTGTACTCCAACCTGGCGACAGAGGGAGACTCTGTCTCAAAAAAAAAAAAAAAAAAATGTAGTTTCCACCTGTTGAGTACCGGCCTGGGACTGTGCTGAGCTTTTTGGACATTAATGCAGATGTTTACAACCACCCTCCAAAAGACATTTCACTATGCCCCTCATACAGATGCGGAAACTGAGGCTCAGAGAGGTTTGGAGGTTTACCCAGCCTTCACAGCTAGTGAGGTACCAAGCTGTGGATTGCCATCATAAAGTGGTCTTTTGCATGGGGTCAAAACTGAAAATAGCTACAAAGACTCTTGAAAAAGTCAGCCAAGTGACTTTTTCCGGGAAGGAACAGACCAGATTTTTGCCCTTACCAAAGCTGTCAGAGAATTTAAAAAGACGACTTCAGGTGTTATTTCTGTCTTGAGAGCTAACAGTTTTTCAGATGTGACAAAATCTGGGCCACAGTAAGTTCTTAAAATAGAAACTGTAACAGGTCACCAGGTCAACGTCTCTGGGGCTTGGAAATAGTAGGTTATTTATCCAAAACAGTCATGCTTCCTTTTAAAGCACAGAGCCTGTTTGGATTTTTTGCCCAAGTGAAACCCCGAAACTTATTAAGAGAGTTCTGCCAGGGAATTGGGATTTGAATAATAGAGAAAAGACTGGCTAAGAAATAGAGAGTTGAGCTTTTATTTTTATTTTTTCTCAGAATTTGAACCACAGCATTGACTAAACCAGGAGTGATGCCCAAAATGATTGGCTTTCAATAACTCATATCACCAGGGAATGAGCCCTAATATATATGTCAGGGAATGCTACTGCTATCTAAAATATCTCTATTTACACACCCAACTTCATGGTAATCGTGTTGGATGGAAATCTTTCCAAAGTGAACTCTGGGTTTACTTGGCCTTCCTCTAGCAGGGCACGATGGACACTGTTTGACTTTTCCTGCAGATTAGGTCTTCACTACAAACCCAGCCATGCCTTTGGGAGGCCTGTGAAATTCGCAGAGCTGCCGTCCCTACCCCGAGGCCCCATCCTAATACACTTTGCGTGGTCTCATGTCTCCTGTTAGGGCTTCACTTACTCTATTAGTCGCTTTCAGCCCTCCTGTCTCTTGTGGCCCTTTCCTGACTTCATATTTGTACCCACCAAGCTTGTTAATATTTACCCAAAATAAGTTAGTAAGAAGCCCCGAGGGCCTCTCTGCTTGTGGACTTAAAACATCATTTGTGGACTTAAAACATTATCTCTGATTGCTTAGAGGAAACTTTTGGTTTCTCTATGGGTTTTGGCTTCATTCTGGAAAATTACCACTGCATGTTTCATGCCTTTCAACCCATAGGGACAGATCTGTTAGGGTCCTGTTTGGCAGGGTGGCCTAAATAGCTCTTGCCAGACCAAGGAGAACGTCCTGTACCTCCTGCTAAGATAGGCTTTGGGACTGCTCTGTGGCATATGCATCTCTGTCCAGGACACTTCCAAGGCCAGGCTGGGACACACTGACCTTGAGGGCTGCTGTGCTGGAGAAGCTAAGCATGTGTTTCCTGAAGGTGGGACGTGGCTCCTGCCCACTGCTGCTCTCAGAGTGGAGTAGAGCCCCAGGCTGCCCTGCCCCTCATACCTAGGCTTCTTTTTCCAGTTCTCTTTCCCATCACACTTACAGCCTTGCCTTTCCCACCTGCTTCTCATGAAGTAAAGTATACTTCTTGCCGTCTGCCCTGACCCCAACAGCCCACTGCCTGAGTTAGGAGAAAGACTTTAGAGAATCCTAGAGAGAAAGGTTCCTATAAGGCCCTTGAGGGCAGAAATAACCCCTCTGGTTCATCTCAGTGCCCTCATGGATCACTGTGAGACAGTGAATGCCAATTACCTCATGGTTACCAGAATCAGGCACAAGCAGACTCAGAAAGGATAATGCCTCCCTGGCTCAGTAAAATCTATGGTTGCTCAGAGGCCCTGGGGTGCTGAGCTCCAGAGTCTTCCTTGGCAAGCCCAGAGAAACCTGTTGCCTCCTAAGGTGCAGCCTGCAGCGAGGCAAGAAACTATTCTGGCTGGCTGCAGAGCTGCCTGGTATGGGGAGGCCCAGCTTTGCCCTCCTAGGTTAAGTTACATGGCACCCCGATCCTCAATTTCATTGTCTTTAAAATGGGATGATTCCACCTTACAGGGTTATTTCCAGGACCAAATGAGGGAACAAGAAATCTAACACATGTTGCCTGTCATCTGAGGTACTCTCAGCTGATGTGGCTGCCTGGAGGAGAGCTGTGAGGGAGGGATGGCCCTGTGGCTTCGAGGTGGGCGAGTAGACTGGGGCTCCAGAGAAGGCTGATCACAGCTCCTGTGCTACCTCTGGCACTGACTGACAGTTTGTACCCAGATCAGTGTCTTCACCTTTCTAAACCTCTTAACTCTAAAACATGGGATATTAAGGTCCATTTAAGGAGAAGTAATTAGCTGTGAGAATTGGATAAAATTACATATGCTATGGAAGAATCTCTCATAGTGCCTGGCATATAGTCGTATTCAGTCAATGCTCCAGTTATGGACTTTTCTTTACAGCTATGATTTTTCCAGGTAAAGCCCAGTTGCATGAACCCAGCCCTGTAGGATGGCTGCAGAAGTCAACCAGTGGTTGGATTAGTTTGGGCAATTGAGAATAACCAAGGTAGTCAAAAATGTTCCCTGTTGCTGGTGATGTGGTTTTGAGGAGGCATTCTTCGATTAGTAGACTGTGGCCTGAGGGCTGGTGGCATGTGAAGAGCCCCAATCCTATGGATTGGTTTACAGAGTGCTGGGAAGTTCAGAGAGCTCCTCCCAGTTGGTACCTCCAAATTCCAAGAGGCTACACACCTGTCCTATGGGAGAATAAGAGGCCACCCCCTTCCTCGTGTGTACAGCAGCCTTCTGAATAGTAATCATGTAATCATGATCATCAGTTATTGGGCACCTCCCCTATCCAGGATTTTTTGCTAGGTGCATTATGTGTGTGTGTGTGTGTGTGTGTGTGTGTGTGTGTGTGTGTGTGTGTATGTATACATGTTTTTAAGACAGAGTTTTGTTCTGTTACCTGGGCTAGAGTGCTATGGCGCAATCTCAGCTCACCACAACCCCCGCCTCCCAGGTTCAAGCAATTCTCCTGCCTCAGCCTCCAGAATAGCTCGGACTATAGGTGCATGCCACCAAACCTGGCTAGTTTTTGTATTTTTAGTAGAGGCGGGGTTTTGCCAGGTTGGTCAGGCTGGTCTTATACTCCTGACCTCAGGTGACCTGCCTGCCTCAGCCTCGCAAAGTGCTGGGATTACAGGCGTGAGCCACCACGCCCAGCCTATGCTTTAAATGTATTCTTGCTAATCTTTCCAACAATCTTGCAAAGGAGAGCTCATCATCTCCGCTTCACAGATGTGGATGCTGAGGCTCAGAAAGATGTCCTGGGCCATTCAGGGAGAAAGTGGTGGAGCCGAGATGTGAGCCCTCACTGACCCTCTGGCCAGAACCAGTATGCTGGGCTTTTCTGAGCAGCTAAGGCCTGTGGCACTCGTTTTCCCAGACAAGGGAGGAGCAGCCAGAGTCTGAATCAAACATGGACCTTAAAGTCACCTGGCAGCTGAGGTCCACAAAACGATTGTCAAGAGTGGAGAATCTTTTGTCATTCCCAATTTTGGTTGCAGAAGCAAGGTTGAGTGGGGGATGTATGTATGCATTTGCTTTCTCACATATAAGGGCCAGTAACTCACTAAGCAATTCAAGCTGTCATAGCAGCCTCCTCTTGTGACAGAGCCCATGTCCCATTGGCTAATGCGTCATACCCAGAGGCCCAGAGAGAGGAGTTAAAATGCTAATTTCAGGGATGGCTCAGTCATTTTGATCCCATTAAAACACTAGCATCCTTCTCATGCAAAACTGGTGCCTCAATTACCAACTAATTGCCTGATTATTGTGCAGGGACAGGAGACTTCAGTCAGTAAGGGGCTGCTGTCATCCCTGGATAATGGAGTGTGGGAATGCGTGTGCCATGCAGGTTTGGCTCTGGAAGAGACATGTCAGAAAGCTGATCTAGGAGCAAGACAGAGCGGCTGGTGGAAACTCAGCTGCCCTCCTCAGTTCCCAGTGCCTTCTCCAGCTCCCACTGGGGTGACCCCTCTCCTTCCTTCCCCACACCAGGTGCTGGAGACATGTGTGAAGAACTGTGGCCACCGCTTCCACATCCTTGTGGCCAACCGAGATTTCATCGACAGTGTTCTGGTCAAAATTATCTCTCCCAAGAACAACCCTCCCACCATTGTACAGGACAAAGTGCTTGCTCTGATCCAGGTAGGTCGGATCCCTTGCCCAATTTATTGGGATAGAGTAAGATGAAGTCTCTTATTGATGAGTCCTCATGCTCTTCCACCATTTGGAGGAAAAAAATGGAAGCTTCTACTTTTAAATATTTGATGCAAAATACTTTAAAAAAATACTCATCTCACTGGAATGAAATTCTAATTGGTGGCTCTCCAGCCAGTTGACAGAGCCTTCTTGAAGCTTTCTGGATGCCGGCCTTCTGCTGCTCGCAAAGGCAGGTAGGGTGGTCTCAACAGGCCTCTGAGGAAACATGGAGTAGGAAGAACCATGTCAGAGCTGTGTGTGGGCTTGGCGAGGTTGCAGGGCAGGGGCAACTCAGGGGCAGGCAGAGCAAGGTGAGGGGCTAGGGATGGCGTTAAGGGATGATTCACTGAAGAGAGGACATTTCTGTTGGACCCTGAAGAATAATGGGGAGCTTAATGGAAAAGTCAGCATGAGAGATGTCACAGGCAGGGAGAATAGCACGTGCAAAGGCCCACACGTATCAGAGAACAGTTGGCATATTTGGGTTGTATTTGTTATCACTCGCTCTGTTAGGAATTACTTTAAAACACAGCAGCTTAAAACAGCAAATGTTCATTATCTCATAGTTTCTGTGGGCCAGGAATCCAGGAGCAGCAAGCTGGGCAGTTCTGGCTTGCAGTCTCTCGTGAGGTTGCATTGTCTGAAGGCTGGACTACAGCTGGAGGCTCCACTTCCAACATGGTGCACCCACATGACTGGTGGGAGGAAGCCTCAGTTCCTTGCTGACTATTGGCAAGAGACCTGAGTTTACCACCATGTGGACATCAAGATTGGTCTTGATGACCTAGTCTTGGAAGTCACATACCATCTTTTCTGTTATATTCTATATGTTAGAAGGGAGTCACCAGCCCTAGCCTCAAGAGTAAAGGGAAATAAACTTCACCTCTTGAAGAGAGGAGGAGCAAGGAATTTGTGGACATGTTATAAAGACCATTATGTGGGGAAGGGGGTGTAATGAAGAATGCTGGGGGCAGGGCTTGGGGTGGGAGACCAGGCAGGAAATGGGGCCAGAAGGATGCTCAGAGGCCAGTGGCCATGCATGCTGAGGAGCTGTAGGCGTGCATGCTGTGGTCCTGTAGGCAGTGGGAAGCCACGGAAGGGCTCTGAGCTGGGGTGTATGGAGACCTGGGTTTTAGACAGAGCACTTGGTGGCAGGGCAGAAGGTACGTAAGTGAACAGGCACATCCAGCCTGGGTGATTAGTGCCGTGGCAGAGGCAAGACAAGGGCCTCAGGAGCCAAGAGGAGAGACCAACCCAGGGCTGGGCATGGGGGTCCAGCAAGGGCAAAGGAAGGCAGCCAGGCAGAGGCAGCTGAGAATGCAGGAGGTGGTATGCCGGGGCAGGCCGGGCTCTCAGATGGGGCAGGTGTATAGCTGGAGAGGAGCCTCTTTGCATTCCCTGTGCTCAATTCCCTCTGGCCGAAAGGTCCTTCCCCAGCTTTCAAAGCAGCCACTCCTGCTCCTCATTCACATGTGCCTCGGAGGCCTCCGACTGGTTTTAAGTACACATACTGTCTGTCTCACATCATCCTTTGTGGTCTTCAAGACTGCCTTTGCCAACATTTCTTTTGTCTGCCTCATTCTTCGTTCCCTAAGACTCCAAGGACATGGTGTTCCCAGGGTCTAGAGCAGTGGAATGTGTAGAGTGGGTGATCAGTATTTCTTTATAACGAATGAGTGTATGTAGTTAATTCTGAGGAGCTCTGGAAGGCCATCCCATGCTTCCCCTAGGGCTGTCCCTGGCCCCTGTTCTGCCCACCCAACATCTGTGTGTGTGTCTCTCTCTCTTTCTCTGTCACGCACGCACACACACACACACACACACACACACACACACACACACGTACACCCACCCTACCATAGCCCTTCCTTCTGGGGCTATATTCCCCTACCTCAACACCCCCAGGAATTCATGTTAGGAAAGCAAATGGTGGCCTCTTCTCACAAAGCATGTCCCATGGGAGAGCTTTCTGACACCAAGGCCTGTCTGTGCCCAGCAGCGTGGCCAGCCAACCCCATGGCAAGCACAGCTATCACAAGGGGCGTGGTCTGTACTGCCCCTGCTGACTGTGTAGGGACCGTGGCTAAGGGCAGATAGAGCCTTCTTCACTGGTTGTGGCTCACGCCTCTACCCTGAGGATACCCATCCCTGCCCACCCTGCCTTCATCTCCAAAATTTCCTATCAGGATCACCCCTCCACACATTCCAGCTCCTCCCAGCTTTTAGCCAGCCTGCTGCTAACCTCAGACAGGTGTAGTAATTTCTGTGGGCGTCTACCACCCTATCTGTAAAATGGAACTTGGGGTTCTTGCCTGTCTTCCTTCTCTCAGCCCTGAGCCCATGAGATCAGCCCATGCTGTGAAGTGGCCAGCACCATGTTCTGAGGCCTCCTGCTGCTGGCCTGGCAGTAGCAGTGTGTGCTGGCCATGGGGACCTGAGCAGAACAGGGCCTTGAGATGCCTCACAAGCTTCCGCCTGGGTGGGCACAGTTTCCTGGTCCAGCTGTGAAAAGCATGGGCTTCAGGTAAGGGTACTACTTCTAGATGGGGGTTGCTACCCCAGCTGGAGAGTGTTCTTTCTCTCCAGATTTGCAGTGTTCTGGAAGAGCTCTCACCTTTGGTAACAGCTGCCTGGCAGAGGACAGCAGGCAGCATTCAGCTGTGGGTGGCTTGGCTTCTGTAACAGGGTGAACCAAAAGAATAAACAGGATCCCTACCCCTTCTTTTTTTAAACCTGTTATTGAATCATAATATATATAAAGGAAATCACACATAAAAGTGTGTATAACTTGATAAATTTTCACAAACTGAACATGTAAGCAGCCCCTGCATCTGGAAACAGAATATGACCATACCCCAAACCTCCCACCTCCCAGATGGCCGCTTGCCTGACCTCTCACAGCATAGACCAGTCTTTTCTGTTCCCGAACTTCATCCATTGTGCTCTGTTGCCTCTGCTGTGTTTGTGAGTGTCACACACGTTGTGGCCTGTGATTCTAGGTCTTTCGTTGCCATTGCTGTGCCGAGTCCTGTTGTGTGAACAGACTGCCGTTTATTCATCCCTCCCACTGTTGATGGGCACTTGGTGTTTGCAGTTTGGGGCTACTATGAAAATGCTGCTATGAGCATCTAGCACTTGACTTTTGTTGAGCACATTTATTCCTCTTTATTGGGAAGATGTTAAGTTGAATATGTGAAAGTACCATCTTTGTTGGTCAAAAATGGTCAAATATTAGCCATTTCACATGTATCCACCTCTTACCGAGATGTGTGGTTGCTGCGTGGTGGGGAGTAGGTTTCACGGGGCTCTTCAATGTTCTCCACCACCAGCAAGCAGGAGGGTTAGCTGCTTCTTGTCCTCACCCACACACGCTGTGGCAGTCTTCTTCATTAGAGCATGTAGTAGTATTGCATTGGGTCAACCTTTTTTTAACCCCTTTGAGAAAGAAAGTACTTTTATTTGCATGGTGAATATACTTTAGAAAAACCTTAAAGCTTCCCCAGAGAGTCTGATGATTCCCCTGAGAGAGAAAGTGCTGCTCCCACCATGAGACAAGAATGGGGTTAGAAGAGACAGGTCACTGGCTGCCTTGCCAATCTGTGAGAAGGCAGCAGCTCTCGTATCAATGCAGATAGGCTGAGAGGAGGTTCAGCTAAGTGTGGGGTGCCAGCGCAGTAACAGACTCCTCGTCACCATCGTGGTATCAGGATGCTTCTTGGTCCTCTTCAGAGAAATGGGGCAGGGTCAGTACTGACGCTTCACTTAGGGAGCCGGCATTTTAACTGGGGAAATGAAGATTTGCAGATGACAGAGGACAAGGGCCCAGCCGGGAAGGACTTAAACTGGCTTTTGTCTGCTTGTGGCTGGGGGGTGGAGTGGGGTTCAGCCTTAACCTTTCCATTCTGGAAAAGTAGATCGAATGTGTTAGCACTTGAAAAGCTTTCAAGGTAAAGGAGCCACGCAAATGTGCATCCCTAATCCCTCCTGCCTGTGAGGCACGGTTGGGGCTCCTGGCAGAGGTAGAACCTGTGGCTGATTACCAGCTGCTGGCCAGAGCCCACTGCCCCTTTGGTTGCCCTGAGGATGGTAGAAGCAGAACTGCAGCCAGGTTGAGGGGAAAGGGGAGGTCGGGCTCCACACTAGCTTTTCCAAAGTCCCCTGTGCCTATAGGAAAACAGGTGATAGGCTTGTCTGTGCTCATCTGCCTGCCCCAGCCCACCTTCTCTGATTCCCTTTTAGAGTGCCAATCGCAGGCATGGTCGGCCTACCCAGTGGCACGTTTGCCATCATGAGCACCCTGGCCAACTGCAAAGAGAATCCAGCAGATGCCTACCCCTCCTTCCCCAGCTGCACTCCTTCTCTTCCTGCGTGGGGGCTTTCTGTCTTCTGGCTGCCCTCCAGCCATCCGTAGCCACCCCCTCCCCCTCAACCCTCCAAAAGGCAGACACAGCCGTGTGGTTCTGGGACTTTTTCCCAACAGGTGCGAGGGCTCAGTCGGCTTACCCCCACCACAGGATCTGCCTTTCTGGATGGAGTCGGTCTCCCTGGGAGGATGGAGGAAAGACACATTGAGAGTGGTGCAGCCTGGTTAGTAGCTTGCTGACACTCACTCGTACCTGTAGGGGTACCAAAGGCCTTGCTTCCAGCAGCTTTCAGCTTCACCTCTACATTTTCACCTCGTGCCTTGGCTGGTTTTTGGCTTGTATTCCTTTTTGTTTGTTCACATTAAATCCCATTTGCTGAGAAGACAAAAAGGATGCTAGTGCTCTATATTATCCCTGAGCCTTTCTCTTGAAATTGTTTTCAAGAGCAGAAATGGTGTCATCCTGGCAGAGTCACCTCAGTGTGGTCATGCTTCCCCAGCCCCCCTCCCCATGCCCCAGCAATCATCTAAAAATACTCTCTTTCCACTGAAGGTTTTTCTTTCCACTGAAGAAAGTGAGCTGATGGGGGTGGGGATGGGGGTGGGGGCAGGAGAAGCTGGGGGTGTTGTGTTCTTTGAAGGCATCAGAGTCTGGTAGCTGGGCTGTGGCCAGACTCTGTGTGGACAGCAACTCCCTAGGGACCCTGTCACTGGGAGTAGAAAGTCTAGTCTGGGGCATCAGCAGGAGCTGACCAAAGCTCCGTTCTATCCAAAGGCATCCCAGAGCCCATCGTTTAAATCAGCAATGGTTTATTGATATGAAATTTGATGATTCAAAGCTTTGCCAAAACTTTGAGGGATACAGAAATAAATAGGATATGGTTTGTGTTTGTGTCTGGTTTTAGTTTGGGGTTTTGCATACAGTCCAAAGAAATGAAGGAGATCTGAATTGATCTCTTTCGTTTTTTGTTTTGTTTTGTCTTTTTTTTCATTAGACCTTCCTCTGCGTCTTCTAAGCCACAGGCAGGAAAAGAAGGCTTCCCGTGAGCTGGCCACTTGGCCATTAGCCAGCTAGCTCCTGTGTAGCCCTCAGAGTGTCCCCACACCACTGTATCACTTTGCTTTCTAAAAAGGCAGCTTTAGGGGAGGGCAGCCTGCCCCACTCTCTCTGCTGCTCCCAGGCTTCAGGTTAAGGACTCCAAGAGTGGCCAGACCTCCCGAGGGTTGCTACATCTCCCGTAGGGAGCATCCTCAGCTGGATCGGCCTTCCAGAACCCTTCCTTTATCACTGCCACTTCAGTCTGTTGAACAGGCTAAGTGGCCATCTTTCCTCTGTTCTCTGAAGTAGGAAAATAAGGATGCTTAGTAACCATGAGGACTGAATTCAGTTTAACCTGACAAATGTTGACTGACTGTCTTCTCTGGACAAGGGTGAGAGACTCAGTGTCTGCCTTCAAAAGGTGTCTAGGCTGGGTGTAGTTGGCTCATGTCTGCAATCCCAGCACTTTGGGAGGCTGAGGCTGGCAAATCCCTTGAGTCCAGAAGTTCAAGACCAGCCTAGGCCACATGGCGAAACCTCATCTTTACAAAAAATACAAAAATTAGCCAGGCATAGTGGTGCATGGCCATAGTCAGCTACTCTGGAAGCTAAAGTGGGAGGATTGCTTGAGCCTGGGAGGTGGAGGTGAGCCGAGATTTCGCCGCCATTGCACTCCAGCCTAGGTAACAGAGCAAGACCCTGTCCCCCTTCCAAAAAAAGGGTTGTCTGGCCTGGTGTAGAGGGAGACAGGAGCCTAATTATTGAGGCATGTCCCAAGAAGATGCTAGGGACGCATGGCATTAGGTGTCTCCCATCTCTACACTTTCACATATGAATGGGAGACACCCTGAGATGGGAGACACCCAGAGCTGCATTTCTTGAGAGGCCCCTTACATCCTGTTTTTTCCTCTGTTGGCATCAGAATCCTAGTCAACAGAGATTGCTGTCATGAATATCTGCTCTGTTAGCAGCCATCTTACCCAGTCTGCACAGAGGTCCCAGACAGGGGTTGGAATTGTGGCAGGTGGGAAGCGGATGCATTAGCCAAGACTACTTGATTGCAAATAACAGATGCCAACTCCAGCTTGCCTAGGCAAAGAGAAAATTTGTCATGACAGGACAGGGCCTCCCAGAAGTCCAGGTCACCGAGACCTGGGAAGGGACAGAAAAGATCAGGAAGGCCATCCAAATCCTCTCTTGTACGTCTGCACCTCCGAGCACACTAGCTGTTCCTTCTGGAGAGGACAGGCTGTCTCTGCTTCTGGTCCTGGGCTGGCACATGGCCCTGGAGTTAGAGAGGACAGTTCTGCCTACCCTGTGAGGACAACCCTGCTCCTAGTGCTGCTGAGTTCCTGGAAGGAGGAGCATCTCATTGGCCCAACGTAGGTATGCATTTCCCTCACCCTTCACTCTGTCTCCGTGAACATGGAAGCAGAGTGCCTTAGAAAGGGGACCCCAAGAAGTATCCTCCAACTGGAGAGAACAGCCATGATTCCTTCATCTTCATTCCTGTTATCTCCAGTCTGGCTTGGGTAGAGAACTAGATGAAAGCAGTCCCTGGAGCTGTCTGTACTCCGTGTACAGAGGCATGAAGTGGCACCAGGAAAAACTGCTGTGCGTTTTTTCCTCCGCCTCCCACACTGGGCTGTGAAACTGGTTTTTAAGCCCTAAAGTCAACACCCTAAACTAAAATGCTAGGGCATTTTGAGGTTGTAGTCACGGGACTTAGCTGGATTTTGAACCAAGTGGAGGCAGCCAGGGCAGATGGCGGGGGCGGGGCTGGAGACACTCCCTGGGGGCAACCTACTCTCCAGCTGGGCCTTCCAGACAGTGCTCTATGAGGCACCTTCTTTGGCCATCCTCAGAATCCAGAAGGAAGTGTTGGCCAAGAGGGGCTGACCTGATCCAGTAGCTTTAAATCCCTGAGCATGCAAATTAAATAAGTGTGTCAGGGAAAGCCAGGCTGACAGTACTGTTCCGTAAGTGAGACGCCTCGGTCATAATTAAGAAGGGTTTTTGGAAACTGACCTTTTAACTTCGAATGGGTCTGTTGGTTAGAGATAGAGTTTCTGTGGCTGCCTCGGGATTGGTTGTAACTCATTGCTAGAGTGAGGGGGCAGTTAAATGCTGTGACAATGACAGACTTGGTAACAGAGTCATGGGCACAGAAGGCTCTGCCTCCTCCTCTGGGTACGTATGGTGAATGGACCGCATGGGAAGGGCCATTTCTAGGGAGCCCTTTGGATATTCTTTTTTTGATACAGCCTGAGACTTCCAAAGAACATATTTTTAAAAAAATGTTTAAGTTTCACCAGTTAACAGAAATGATAATCTACTTGAATTTTTGTTCTTTCCTGTCTGTGATGTGTTTTCACTGAAGGGAATCTAGTGATCATGCTTTTCATTGGATTTTTCGATTGGGCACACGTGTGCCGACATTTTCGGCCGCAGACATCATGGAAGAAGCTTGGGTCTGGAAGTGGAAGCCCTTGGGGTGAGCTCCCCAGTCTGGCCTGGGTCTGGCTCCCAGTGGGCTCTTCTTCCCTTGAGCCACAGTCATCTCCCCTGCCGGCAGCGGAACTAGACAGAGCTCGGCTAGACAAGCTCAGCATCAGTTGTCTCTGATCCAAGGAAACCTGTAGTTAGCCTTTATTTCATGTCACACATCAATTTCTCCTTTCCTTTCTGCTCAATTTGTCCCCAGTTCCCAACTCGACCAGTAGAAGCTCTCAGGGCAGAGGTGTTCCTGCACAGAGGGCAGGTATCCTACTGAGGGGACAAGGCTGCACCTTCCACTCCCTGCAGCTAAACAGTCTCAGCAATTGATTTCCTCGCCATTAGGGAAATGCCTGCTTTTTAGGATGCACCACAGTGCATAGGTGTTATTTCTCGGTCTCTTCTCCAAGGAAATACATGCTAAATTAAGTTTCGTGTTTTTGTTCACGCTCAGCAGCACCACTGAAAGCCAGGGTTTCACCAGCTGTGTCGTGCGTGGCAGCAGTTGCAGGAGGAGAGGAACAGAATAGGTTGAGCCAATGCAATTTGCATTTGCAAATAGGAGAGCATTGGTCTCAGGGAGAGGACGTGGGCCACTTTGGATTTTCAGGTACCATGGCATCTCTTGAGAAATGCTTCCTAACAGGCCTTCTGTTTTCCCAGGCATGGGCTGATGCCTTTCGAAGCAGTCCTGACCTCACCGGTGTTGTGCACATATACGAGGAGCTGAAGAGGAAAGGGATTGAATTTCCCATGGCAGACTTGGATGCCCTGTCTCCCATACACACACCACAGCGGGTAAGCTTCCAGCTGGTGCTTTCTAGAAAGACCTACTGCAGAACGGGTGAGCCAAGCTGCTGCAACCACCCTTCTGCTGCTGCCTTTGAATTATTCAGCTTGTCATCATGCTTTCTTAAAGCTCGGGGGCATTCCTTTTTAATAACAAGGGGCATGCAGGAGTGAGACAGCTGGTTGACTGGTGATTAAGTGGCAACAGTGTCTGCGGAAGAATATAATAGAGGGATCAGTTCAGAGTTTTCATGGAAATGGCTACTTGGGCGGGGCCATCCTGTGAGGGTCATTAGCACCTGCTTTTCAGAGGCCCCTAGAATCTGACATAGGAATCCTGTTGCCCCTCAGAGCACCATAGCACCTCAGAGCATACAGAGAGCTTGACGTCACTCTTGGGGCAAAAAGGAGCTGTTTTTTTCAATTGTACCAAGTCAAATGGATCTAAAATTTATTTTGAGCTATGAGCATTCAGCATCAATTCAGACATCCCTGCATTCCACCAGCCTTAGGATCAAAGCCCTGGGAAGGTCCCTTTAGGGGCCTCCCACCAAAGCTTTTGCAGTACCAACAGCTTTGAGCACCATGGAGGGGGCAGCTTAGCACATCAGGATTAAAAGCATGTAGGTCATGCCACTCATGGCTTCGCATGGAAGCCAGTCCCTCTACTGGCTGGGAATCAGCTTCGCTCCTAGCCTGGGTGAGAGCCAGGAAAGCGCCAGGTCTGGGAGAGGCACTTCATCCCAGTACACATCACCTTGCCTGCCCCCATTGTCCATCTCTGAGAAGAATAGCACACCTTTGCACGTCTCTTGTAGGAACACGACTTAATACATTAGCGAGAAGTCATCTGAGATGCCCAAAGGGCAAGCATGAAGGACTGCCCTTTCCAGAGCCTGTTCTCATCATGATCCCTCCAGACCATGCACTGTGCTGTGTGAAATCAACATAACCTGCTTCACTCTTCTAATAATGACAGAGAACAGTGTTGTTGTTCCTATAATTATGAAAACATTTGGTAAATTGCATAATTACTATTTATATTAGTCTCCTTGTAAAGGCCAAAAAAGTAGTTCTTACGGTACCAAGTAAAGATTTGTGATTAGCAAAACTGAATAACTGCCCTCCCTTCACTCCATCCTGAGGTGGTCTTAATAATAGGAACCATTATCAGAGGGCTCACAGAGCACTCTTGGTGCTGCCTTTTGGAGTTGCTTTCTTTTTTCTTTCTTTTTTTTTTTTTTTTTGAGATGGAGTCTCACTGTGTTGCCCAGGCTGGAGTGCAGTGGCCTGATCTCGGCTCACTGCAACTTCCACCTCCTGGGTTCAAGTGATTGTCCTGCCTCAGCCTCCTGAGTAGCTGGGATTACAGGCATGTGCCACTATGCTAATTTTTGTATTTTTAGTAGAGACAGAGTTTCACTATTTTTGTCAGGCTGTTCTTAAACTCCTGACCTTGTGATCCACCCACCTCAGCCTCCCAAAGTGCTGGGATTACAGGCATGAGCCACCACGCCTGGCTGGAGTTGCTTTCATTGTCTGCCACACACTGCTTGAGAGGTAAGTAGAGGGAGGAGCCAGTGGCAGCCCTACTTCCCAGATGGAGAGCCTGGGCTCAGCGGGGCTCCATGAGCCTCACCCGGGCAGCAGTGGAGCAGAACCTTGAGCCTTGCGCAGGCAGCTCTGGAGAAGTGCCGCATGGGGTAGGGTAGGTACCAGGCCCAGCTGTGCAGGCAGCCCAAAACAGAGGACTTTGTTGTTGTTGTGCCAGAGCGTCCCTGAAGTGGATCCAGCCGCGACCATGCCCAGGTCCCAGTCACAGCAGAGGACAAGTGCTGGTTCCTATTCCTCGCCACCTCCTGCTCCCTACTCCGCACCGCAGGCCCCGGCTCTGAGTGTGACTGGCCCCATCACAGCCAATTCAGAACAGGTACGTGTACACTTTGGGGCCATAGGCAAGCCAGCTGACTATTCTTATTCATCTTTCCAGGAGACACTTATGAAGGCCCCCCAAGCCAGGCATTGTGCTGGGTGTCGGGGACACAGAGATGGAAGGGCTTAGTCCCCAGGGGAGACAGATGCTGAGGCCATCATGATGGAGTGTGTTCAGGCCTGAATCTTGTCGGCAGGAAGCAGAACCAAGGGCTCCGAGTTTTGAGCCTAGGGTTGAGTGGTGCCTGGGAGGCACCAGGGACCTGACATGCAGAGGGTCCTGACACAGGAGTGGGGCTTTGTCAGGTGAGACCACATGCTCAGCAGTGACATTGCAAGGCAGAGGTGCAGAGGCGCAGGGCTCTCGGAGCAGCAGGTGGCTTGATTGGAGAGCGAGCGCATATGTAGGGCCCAGATCTGGGCGGAAACCATGGCAGAAAGTGAGGCCAAAAGCATAGAAGTGCAGCGGAGTTGTGACAGGCTTGTCTGTCACACAGAGGCTTCGATCTGTCCTGTAAAAGATGTCAGCCATCAGAGGCCTGTGACCTGATCAGGGAGGCCCTCCTGAAGCACAAGAAGCCTGCTTTTATCCCAAACACTCTTATCTTCTTGGGTTACTTCCTGATAAGCTAATGCAGTTTTAACCCCACGCTGGATTTTTCAGATGAATTGGGGAGTGCTCTTTAGAAGAATCCATAGAATTTCAATGAGTTACAACTTGAGAATTGGTCAGACTTGGGAAAGAAAAACAACTCTCCAATGTTTATATTTAATAATCCTCATTTACTATTTGCGACAATGTCATGACTATGGAACCGCGTTGAGGCCGACGGGTCAAGCACTGTGTGTGCAGGGATGGCAGTGCTGTGTTGCGCTCCTCTCACTTCCCTGCTAACTCTGAGCCGGGAGTATGGTGAAAGTAGCAGTGAACTTGAAGCCCCCAGAGCCTGATGTGAGCCGCCGCTCTGCCGCTCACTGTAGGCTTGTCAGGACATTTAACTCAGTCTCCCATTAGTAGAACAAGTGATCTGTTACCCCACCAGGCAGCTATGGGCTTGACAGGCAGACGGAAGAGGTCCTTATGGTAGCCATCCAAGTGCTGCGGGGAGGAAGGTCTCCGGCTCTTAGCCCTGCTCCTATGGGCAGAACTTTGCCCTTTCGGCTCTGAGGGAAGGCAGAAAATGTTTGAAGTTGGACAGTTCCTGAGCCCCTTCACTGACTCACGGTGTGGGAGGTGCTCGGGAAGGCCCTCCTAGTAGCCAGAATATGCTGGGTCTGGAGGTTCTGGACACAGGTAGCACAGGAGCCCTGAGGCCTGTTGCCCCTGGGGGAGCAGAGTGCAAGCAGAGATAGGCAGCTCAGCACCCAGCCCGGCCAAGAGGACCCAGGGCTTTAGAGCCCACGAGGTGGCTACCCATAACCTTCCTGGGCCTTCCTAGCCAGAAACCTCTTTTACCAAGACTTTGAAGAAAACCCCTGGATCATCCACCAGGCAGAGCCAGAGGCTGACAAGAGCCTCTTGGGACGCAGACCATCTCCCTAATTGACCACTGATTGTGGTCTCCTGTCCGTCTCTGCGCTGAGGGTATAAAGCTCAACCCAGCTGAGTTCCTGCCTTAAGGAGCTAAGGGTCTGCTAAGAGAGCCCACCCCTACAGCAGAGGCTGCTACAGCTGCAGTAGTGGAGGGCAGCACAGCGAGTGGGACCCTCCACTACTGGAAGAGGTGGGAGCGGTTGCTTCTACCTCAGGATGGGGCGGGGAGAGTCAGAAAAGGCTTCACTGAGGAGAGGAGCTGTCACTTGGGCTGGGTCACAGTGCAGGAAGAACAACATTACAGCTCCTCTCTCTGGACATTTGAGCAGGAACAAGGGCCGTACATGTGTAGAGAGTGCACCTGCATGCTGGGCGCCGCATGGGAACCTCACAGCAGCCTGGTGAGGTGTGGTGTTAGTGCCACCTTTCTGTAGGTGAGGAAACTAAGGCTCAGAGAGGCTCAGGTCTGGCTCTGGATGTTGCTGCTGAGTTTTCCAGGGCTCCCTCCAGTGTCCTGTGCAGTTCTTTACTTCCATCCAGCCTGAATTAGTCTCTTGTCACTGAGTGATGGGACCAATAGGCGCTTCTATGCAGATTCTTCTATGATACCTCACTGTGGGCAAGGAAGGACCCTGTGGTCTCCGCAGATGCTTCAAGGGGGTTGAGGGAGTGGAGGGGCAAGGGGAGAAGGAATACGATGTCTGTTGCTGGAAAGGAGCCTCAGGCTCCTGGCCCGAGTCCAGGCTTTGGGAGCGCTGATGGATGGGCTGTGGTACCAAGTAGGGAGGTGGGTGTGGAAGGTGTCTCCCCTGTGGTCTTCTGTTCTTCTCTCATTCTTGCCACTGCAGAAAGGTGCTGCTGTCACTGCCCAACCTTTCAGAGGATTGTAGTGTTTAGATGTAAAATTCCTTGGGGCAGAGTCTATAACTCAGAGCTTCGTAGAATAGGATCTCAACTCTGAAGGGATCTCAGGGCTCCTGCCCTCCTGAACTTGGATTTTAAAGAGCAGGAATGCAGGCCCTGAGAGGTTCAGCTTCTACTCAAGTTCCCGTGGTGGGAGAGTGGAGACAGAGAGCCAGCTTGGTGCACTCTGACACGGAGCTCTTCGCTATATGGTACTGCTTTCGTGTCGCAGTCAGAGAGGCACCACAACAGATTGTTGGGTGGCAGGGCCCATTCTGCTCTCTCGGAGCTGACAGGCAGGCTGGAGGGAGATGAGAAGGTGGCCTCTGCAGCGTGCACTCAGAAGGGCGACCCAGATCTCCCAGTGAGAGGGATTGTCACTAGCCTAGGAACAAGCTGATTCTGATATTGCAGGTGCAGGCTGACTCTGAGTGACCTTTCCTTCCTCGTGGCCCTCACCAGATTGCCAGGCTGCGGAGTGAACTGGATGTCGTTCGCGGAAACACAAAAGTCATGTCTGAGATGTTAACAGAAATGGTCCCTGGACAGGAGGATTCATCTGATCTGGAGCTGCTGCAGGTGAGTCATCTTGCAGAAACACTTGGCCTGAGCGTGGAGCAGGGGCCTGCTGTGGCAGCTCCCCACTGTACGCTGTCGCAGGATCCCACCCAGGGACACAGTGGCGAGGCGGGACGGGTCCAGTGGCCCTGTTGTTGATAGTCCATGTGGGCGCACACTCAGACTCACTTTGCCACGGACAGGCAGAGGCCAGGGCCACTGTCTCTCTTTATTTTCCTTAGTAACATTTTTTTCCTGATTATAAAGTGCCCGTTGTAGAAGACATGCCCACAGAAAGAAAAGAAAAGTACAGAGAAGAAAATACTAACTTTCTTTGACCCAAGCATCCATAAATAACCACTGTAGGTGTTTTGATGTATTTTCCTTCTGACTTTGTGTATGTTTATTTTAAATGTAGCTGGGCTTGTACTGTTTTGTATTTTGATCCCTCAGCGTCACATCTGCAGGAGGGCATATTCAAACTCGACTGTGCATAAGGAGCCCTTCTAGTGGCGCCTCAACCCAAGGTGTCCTGAGACAGATGATGTGTGATGTTCCTCTTCTTTCCCTAATATTGAGGATTCCCAGTCTGGGTGTTTCTGATATTGTGGTTTCCCATTGCAAACTGGCCTCCCCGCCTCTGGACACCCCACAGATCTGGGGGCATGGCAGAAAGGGGTCCAGGAGCGGGCAGCCTGCAGTCTACCCCTGAGACCAAGGTCAAGGCCTCCACCTCGGGCCTGTTTTCCGGGGCAGCCAGGTCCAGAGCCAGTGCTCAGATCTCCACCACACCCAGCCTCAGATGATCCTCGCATTTGCAGAAAATGACAGTGGTACTTCCCTGAGAAGTAGTGACCTTCTGGAGGGTGCAAAAATGATGCTGTGAACTGCAAGGGCCCCCACACTTTTCAACGGGAGGCAAGATGCTTGAGGGAGCAGGTCAGGAGCCAGACTGACTTGGCGACCTGGCATGAGTGTCTTATGATGCACCTGCTGCTGCTGCTGACACTGTCATTTTTGTCCGGCCCTCAGTTGTCAGTCTTGGTCCCCAAGTGTTACACCACCTACCCTGCCGCTGGCACATGCTTCCCGCCTGTGAAGGCCTTGTCCTGGCCCCAAGCTGCTGCTTGTTGTGCCCCCTTCCTACTCCAAAGCCATTGACTCTTATGGAGGTGAGGGTGGGGAAAGAGCTGTTCCAGGCCTAATACAGAGCACAGTGCTTTGGGCACAGAGGTGCATGAGCTGTGGTTCCTGCTGTGGAGGAGCTTGTGGCTTTTTGCAGGAAACAAACTGGGAAATAACTTGTCTCTATGTAACTACACCAGCCTGCTCTTGAAGCCAGACAAGTACCCTTGGCCCAGCCCCAGTGAGGAGCCCTGACTGCCCTCTCTCTAGTTCCCAGACCTCACTCCTGACACACCTGCATCAGACCAGGCTTGCCTCAGCTTTGCAGGTCCAGCTGAATATGTGCCACACTCCAGGGGACCTGGCTTCCCTTGAATGCATTGTCATTGGCCTCCATTCCCAGCCTGCAGGAAGGTTCTGCCAGGCGTTACCCAGATGCACAGGATTCCGAGGTCAGTCCAGAAACTGAAAGGGCCTCTGGAGGCAGCTTTGTGCTGTGTCAGCGTCGGAATTCCTGCTGACATGGGGGATTTGCTCTGGATAGAGCTGCGTTCCTGGCAGCAGGGGGTGTGTTAAACAAAGCCAAGATGCTTCCAGACAGCTAGAGCAGACCCAGACAGCAGGAATACTTCTTGTGTTGTGGGGAGAAGGGGGTTTGGGTTGTTTTTTTGGTTTTTTTTTTTTTTTTTTTTTTTTTAAGAAAAAAAAACAAGCCCATCAGCCAAGATAAACAGAACCTAATCTCCTGGCGTCAGCTCACAGTTTTCAAAAATAGGTTGCTTCCCATGACGTTTTCTTTCCCTCTGTTTTGTTCCAACTCCAAGCCTCCCAGCCCTCACTGCTATCTTATAAATCAAACAGAAAAAGAATGACTCTGGGTGCCAGTGGGAGGCTGTCCTTCTAGCATAGGAGATTCAGGAGCTGGGCAGCACTGTGAACAATCGTGAATAGACACAGCCCTCCTGGCTGGTTGGCTGCACGCCTCCGCCATCCCTGACATCTTCCCTCCCCTTCTTCCCCTGGCAGTAAGAAGCCAGCAGGCAGGGTCTCCCAGGGGTCAGAGCCACAGTGAACCACCAGCCTTCCATGTGGAGAAATACCACCGTCTGCTTGGAAGGTGCTGGGATCAGAATGTGTCCCCAGGACCCTCCATCAAGCTGGAGGGCAGCCAGAGTGCTTGGGGCAGAGAATTGCAGAGCTGAGAGTGCTGGCTGGGCCATGGAAACGAACAACCCAGATGTTCCCACCAATAGAAGCTGCTCGCAGTTCAAGTATAAATTGCTGGGGTAGGAGGTGGAGGGAATAGGAAGAGAAGTAATTGGTGGTGTCAGCCCCAGGATGATCATAACTGTGGGAAGGTTATGTCCCAGTTGCCTCCTGTGCATCACAAAGCACTTTTGGGTATAGCTTCCCACAGTGCAGCAAGAGCAGCAGGGAAACTTGGCAGTGTGAGCTATTTGCCTGCGGGCTCATGGTATGTGGCTGGTATTTGAGGAGAGGCTGAGGCCACTCTAGCACCCTATGCTGTCAGCATAGCTGGAGCCCCTGAGGAGAAGGAAGGCAGGGTGCCCAGAGTGAGCACAGCAACTCCTCCTCTTGAGCCATGTGTCAAAATATCCACACTCTTGAGTTGGGAGAGAGATTCCAGGAAGCTGGTCCAGCTCTATACCTGTGTTCAGATATCTTCCACAGCATCTTGTCCACTGGGTCTTTCTGCACATCCCCAGTGACAGTCTATTCACAGCAGCCCACTTGCTTTCAAATGGACATCTTGGTTAGACTTCAGGCAGCAGCACAGCAGGCTTACAAATTGCACACGCCTGTGAATTAATGCCTTCCCATCCTTGTCCTCCCACTGATAGCTGGGTGATGCCAGGCAAGTCACCAGCCCTCTCCAGGTCCCCTTCTCCTCTCTAGATTGGAGTAATCACTTGCACCTGGGCGGTGCCTGTTGCAGGGCTGGGCTTAGGCAAGGCCTCACAAATCCTAGGTTTTATGACTATTGTTAGAAAACCCTTTCACACATTGATCTAAAGTCTGGCTCCCTGTAACTTTGATCCTGGTCTGTCTTCTTAGACAACAGAACAAGGCTAATTCTTCTTTCACATGGATAGATCCTTAAGCATTTGAAGATTGCTATAAGCCCCACCCACTGCCCAGTCTCCATATGAAACAAATGTGGCAGTTGGCAGCCCACCATGGAGAGGGACAGGCAGTTCTTCACAGGAGGCAGACATTGTAAGATGGAGAACTTTCATCAGCTGAAAACCCTGCTATGTCACCTTCTAGTGTGGCAGTTAAGCCTATCTTCATCATCCTATGCAAGGACCCTTAGGCCTGGGCCAAAATTCAAATGCTGCATCTGTCCCTGCTAAAGTGCATGCCCTTAGCTGCAGAAAGCCTGAGTTCAGCTTTCTGGGATCTTTAAAGATTGTGATTCTGTCAACCAGTGCCCTCCGTCTCTCCCAATTTAGCCTTTTGAGCTTTGTCTTCAATGAATAACTTTTAATTAATACAATGATGCCAAAAATATATATTCTTCTGTGGCCATTCATCAGCATCAGATAATAACAGAGGCCTCCTCCTTGTTTCTCCAAGTAGCAGATGGCGTATCTCCTCTTGCTTCTTGCATCTCATTTCAACAAAAACAGAACGGCCAAGGCCATTTTCTCTAGAGAAATATACTCTATTCTACGTGTTTAGCTTCATGATTCCCCTTTCTTATCAATAAAGACTTTCTTCTCCCTCCCGTCTTTGCAGCAACAGAAAACAGATCTTCAGGACCTTATTCCATGTTCCTTCAAACTTGTGGAGGGCTCAGAGGAAACCCATAAAGATGATTAAAAGACTGTTGTGTGAGGTAGGGATGAGAATGTCCCTTGAAGAAAAGATAAAGGCATTGAGATTAATTAGGTAGAAAAGAGAGGATATTTACTGAGGTGTTCTGATAGATGGAGGGCTTTTGTGCAAGTGACCAGCTGTTCTTCCCTCTTTTGAGGATCAGAAATAGGAGAAGGGCAAAGCTGACATCGTCAACATTTAGGAATCTCCTGTCCTAGCTGTTGCACATGGAAAGGGTGACCTCAGCAAGCAGTAGACTCTCGGGTGTCTTAGGCCCAATGAAAATTACTCTGAGTGATTTGGAGGTGGAGGAAGCAGGAGAATATCTCCCAGATGAGCCCGCTGGGGGTCTGGCTGTGATGACACCACAGAGGCCATGCAGGGAGCCAGCTGGCACTGTGGTAGCAAAAATCTTAACATCTGGCCCTCCTCTCACTTTCTATCGCTTTTTTTTTTTCTTTTTCCTTTTTTTTTTTTTTTTTTTGAGAAGGAGTCTCGCTTTGTCACCCAGGCTGGAGCACAATGCCATTATCTCAGTTCACTGCAAACTCCTCCTCCCAGGTTCAAGTGATTCTCCTGCCTTAGCCTCCCGAGTAACCGGGATTATAGGCACCTGCCATCATGTCTGGCTAATTTTTGTATTTTTGTAGAGGCAGGTTTCACCATGTTGGCCAGGCTGGTCTTGAACTCCTGACCTCAGGTGATCCATCTGCCTCAGCCTCCCAAAGTGCTGAGATTACAGGTGTGAGCCACTGCACACAGTGTTTTCTTCCTTTTTGAGACAGATGTAAAAGACTGAAGCCAAGAGATGGTAAAGTTTTCTCTGCGCAGAGACCCCTGGAAATCTCCGTTGTGGAGGCCCCAGGCCATAGTCTCTGAGGCTGTTTTCAGCGGAGCTCTTTGGAAAGTCATCCAGATGTTCCTTGAGGATTGGAGCATGAAGGCCCTGCCTGTTGGGTTGGGAGCTATCTAACCCACCACCCCAGTGGGTAGGCTCGGGGGAAAGAGGCAGCAAACACAAGGCCAGAGCAGATGTTCCTGGTGCTGACTGTTGATGAGATCACTGTTGATGAACCCCTTGGGCTCATTCTTCCTTCAAGCCAAGGTCACAATGTTAGAGCCTCAGAAATCATCTAACACCTTCCAAATTTTTTTTTTTTAAGTAATGGAGGCCAAGCACAGTGACTTACACCTGTAATCCCAGCTCTTTGGGAGGCCAAGGCAGGTGGATCACTTGAGGTCAGGAGTTCGAGACTGGCCTGGCCAACATGGCAAAATGCCGTCTGTACTAAAAATACAAAAATTAGCTAGGCATGATGGTGGGTGCCTGTAATCCCAACTACTTGGGAGGCTGAGGCAGGAGAATTGCTTGGATCTGGGAGGTGGAGATTGCAGTGAGCTGAGATCACACCAATGCACTCCAGCCTAGGCGACAAAGCAAGATTCCATCCCAATCAATCAATCAATCAATAATGGAACGTTTTCCTCCACAAATAGAATTCTACAGTGAATGGCAGTGTTTAAAACTGAGAAAAGCAGAGCAGCCCCAGCTGCCTCAGCCCCGTGCCATGGAGGCCACTGCAGCACGCCAGTGGCCCTCTGCAGAAGCAACCCCCTTATTTTACACAGGGAGAAGCAGTCCTGGAGAAGACTGGAGACTTGGAGAGTGTATCCAGTCACAGCTGTTTGCTGCCTGCAGCTTGGTCCCCACACTAGGGCTCTATTTTTGTTTTGTTTTGTTTTGTTTTGTTTTTGTTTTTGTTTTTGTTTTTGTTTTTGAGACGGAGTTTCGCTCTTGTTACCCAGGCTGGAGTGCAATGGCGCAATCTCGGCTCACTGCAACCTCCGCCTCCTGGGTTCAGGCAATTCTCCTGCCTCAGCCTCCTGAGTAGCTGGGATTACAGGCTCGCGCCACCATGCCCAGCTGATTTTTTTTTGTATTTTTAGTAGAGACCGGGTTTCACCATGTTGACCAGGATGGTCTCGATCTCTCGACCTCATGATCCACCCGCCTCGGCCTCCCAAAGTGCTGGGATTACAGGCTTGAGCCACCGCGCCTGGCCCACACTAGGGCTCCTATGGGGAGACTGATAGGAACCCCTGCTCTCTTCTTTCAGGCCTCCAGTACTTAGAGTATTTGTCGCCATCTTTCTGAGACATTTCCTGCAGTCTACTGAGGAATCTGGTTTGGTTCTCCTCTGAATCCAGTGAACCACCCTTGAGGCCTACTCTTTGTTTTGGGGCTTCTGCTGTGTGGAGTGCAGGTGGGGTCTGGTCACGCCTTGCTGGAGGGTTTCCTAGAGGGGCTCTGATGACAGACTAGAGTGTGTTGAATGCTGTGGGAGTATTGAGGGTGGGGTGGAGGGGGATCCCCAGCAAACACTGTATGTGGACAGGAAGATGAATAAATGGGAAGTATGTGTTAAAGCTGCCACTGTAAAATGTTCATGGTACAATCTAGGTGGTAAGCATATGGTGTCTGTCCACCGTAAAATTCTTAGTTTTCTGTATGTTTGAAAATTTTTATGACAAAATACTGGGGTGGGGAAACACCTTGAGGCCTTGAAGGATGAGTAAGCGTTTGTTCAATGGAAAAGGAAATAAGGGACATTGCAGGCAGAGGATCAACTTCTCAGGAGCCCTTGAGCAGTGTGGCAAGCGCCTGAGGACACCTATGTCCTGGAAAGTCTGAGGCGTGTTTGAAGATGGCCTGTGGGCCTTAGGTGCTGATGCCCCAGTCTTCTGGAGGGTAACTTGGATCTGTTTCCACAGCATGCTCCCACACTCCCCTGGCTTGCAGGTCCTATGCCTTGCAATAGGCCTGCAGTGTGGATGGGAAGTGACAAACTCTTTTCCTTCTCCCTCCCCAACCAAGGGCAGCCAGCGCTTGCTGCTAGGCCTCAAGCCCCAAACAGAGGCCACACTTCCTTGAACTGGGCCCGTTTGCTGGAGGAGATAGGTCCTGAGCTGGGCCTCGAGATCCTTTTGCTCATCAGAGATTTTCCGCAGACACCTGGAGGGCTGGAGCAAGGAGGAGCTCAGCAGTGCCTGGCTCCATCCTCGTGTGCTGGCACGTGCGCGTCCCTGGGGAGGAGACATGCACAGTGGCCTGGAACAGTCTATGGCAGCGCAGAGAGGCAGAAGTTTGACCTCTTTTCTCTGCCCTGCTGCCCAGCCTCGCTTTTCCATCATGCAGTCTTTGGCCAGGTCTCCCTCTGGTGCTTCTTCCAATGTGCGAGGTAAATATGCTGCCCAAGTGTTGGCCAAGTATCCTTTTTTCCTTTAGGAAGCAGGGGAGGATGGTCTGTTGAAGTTAACCTAAATCTGTGCCCCCTGTCAGCCCTGAACAGATGCTCACTGCGTTTTAACAATCTATTAGAAATACTGTGATTATTTTACATTGTTTACTTCAGTCCTGGCTGTTGGAATCCTTTGCATGATCCAATATGATTGCTTCTTTCATAAGTTTGGACATTTTTATTTCGTTTTTGTTTGTTTTAATGTTAGGGGCCTGGCTTGGTTTTCAGCATCACTCCTAAGCAGGTTTCATTCTGTAATTGGTGTTTCCCCTGCATTGTTGGTTTTTCTGTGCATGGTAATTGTCCCGGTGGTGACTGGGTTTTGACCTGTGAGTGTCCATTGGCGCCTGTGGCCATTATTGCCTGGCAATCCAGACCAGATCTGGCAGGCTCCGAGGCCCAGGCAGCTTCGTGAGTGTCCCTCTCCTGTCTGACCTGGGGACATGAGCCCTTCACAATGGAAGACAGTGGGCATTTTCTGAAGTTTTCTCTTTACTGGATATTAGTGTCCTCTGGAATTAAGATCCAGTATTCACCTCTTCTTATTGATTCTCGCACTTATCTGTATGTTTCTAAGTGCTTAGTGCTGGTTCAGTGGGGCCTGGAATGAGTCCTAGAGAGGGAAAATTAGAACTTGAATGAACGAGAATTCCCGATTCTCTGAGTGAAGAGTGCTGAGAAGACTGAGCGTATGTGGATAACTGAGCTGGTGGTTTGGGGGGACCAAGAGTTCAGAATATTTTTATTTTTTATTTTTTGGAGACAGGGTCTCACTCTGTTGCCCAGGCTGGAGTGCAGCAGTGCGATCTTGGCTCACTGTAGCCTCTGCCTCCCAGGTTCAAGCAATTCTCCCACCTCAGCCTCCTGAGTAGCTGGGATTACAGGTGTACACCACTGTGCCCAGATAATTTTTATATTTTTTTATAGAGATGGGGTTTCACCATGTTGGCCAGGCCGGTCTCAGACTCCTGACTTCAAGTGATCCACCTGCTTCGGCTTCCCAAAGTGCAGGGATTACAGGTGTGAGCCACTGCGCCCAGCCTCAGAATACTTTAGGGTCATTAGTTAATTCTCCCAGAAGTATTTGGGAAGTGCCTCCCATGTGTCAGACATGAACCACGTACCAGTGAAACGCCTTCTCTGTCCTCAAAGAGCTTCAGTCTAGAGGGGGAGGCAGATAAGAAGCCCAGCCCCTGTGTGGGTGCTGTGTTGCAGGATACCGGGGACCTGCAAGAGGGATACCTTTGATTCCCCACTTGGCTTGACTGACCATCTCGGTGATGTGCTCAGCAGATGATTACTGGGCTTTTTCACTGTGTGTGGCTCAGCGCAGGGCTTGAGGGCATCCTTGGATGGTTAAATGGCAACACCCCCCTCAAGAGTTTATGATGTGGTAGGAAGGACGACCCTCTAGCCAAGCTAGCCGGATTATGAGACAGTATGAGGAACTAAAGAAAGATTGCCATGTCTCTTGTGAATAAATCAGTTACTTCTACCAGAAATGGTTTCAAAATGAAGTTGCTTTGAGGCTGAAGTGCGAGAAGGAGAGACTTATTCTTCACGTCTTACCCCCTTAACTCACTGGCACCCTCCGGTGCCCAGGTAGCTAGGGATAGTATCTCCCTCTGCTTTAACCCTGTATGGTGCACTAGGACTTGAAGCTTTGGTCACAGGCAGTTCCTGTAGTCAGGGATGCTTGGGGGCCAGCCTGGCAGGGTTGCCAGCTCCCTCCTCTGTTGCATCCTCAGCCTGGCATCGAGATGACAAGGAGTCTGGTGGGTATTGAGGGAGCTCTATAAGCAAGTTTGAGCAAGAGCATCAGTAAGGCTGCTGCTGTTCTGGAACAGGGAAGGCTCGTGGAAGCCGGGCCGTAAAGTGCCAAGGTTCTGTCTTCAGGGGGATTTGCTTCTAAGGGTAGAGGGGGTTCCGCTGGCAACTGGGGGTGTGTGAATGTCCTCTTTTGGCCAGCCAGGGAGCTGCCTGGGCTTCTGAGACCTCAGCAAAGTGGCAGACAAGCCACCAAAATAGACCTAATCATAAAATATACCTAGTCATAAAATATACTCCTGCTGTTGCTGAGAGTGTAAGTAAACTGGTGTCATCTTTTTGGAGGGCCTTTTACTATTACCAATTAATGTTATAAACGACCATACCCTTTCACCTGGAAATTTCCTTTCTGAACTCATCCTATGGAAGTCTTGCCCAAGTGCATGTGCATGTGTGTGTACAGGTGTTCATTGCTGCCTTATTTGGGCAGGCCAAAGAAAGAGGAACCACAAGCTAAATGCCCAACAATAGAAGAATGGCAAGACACATTATGAAACACACACGAAGGAACGAGCCAGTCTGCACCAAGTAATGGGGTACAGTGTCTGGAATATTTTGTTGAGAAAAAGCAAGCTGCAAAGAATCACATTTTAATATTTTAAAATAACTTGTATAAGCATGTACTTATATACATACAGCAGTATGTCTGTCTGGGTGTTGGCTGAAAAAGTATTTGTTTCCTCTGAGAAGAAGGAGCAGGCGGTGAAGACGGAAATTCTACTTTGAATGTGGCACGTGTCTGGTTTTATGAACAAGCATGTACTCCTTTTGTGACTTTTAAGAATCAGTACAAATTTTTTCAAAGGAAATAGAATGTGACAAAAAGCGCACCCAGCAGGCTACCCAGAGGTGCGTGTGTTCCCTAGGAGCTGAACAGGACCTGCCGGGCCATGCAGCAGCGCATCGTGGAGCTCATCTCTCGCGTGTCCAACGAGGAGGTCACGGAGGAGCTGCTGCATGTGAACGATGACCTCAACAACGTTTTCCTTCGATATGAGAGGTGGGAGCTGGAGTTCTTTTTTTTTTTTTTCCCCTTGAAAAGTTGTTGCCATAACAGAGGGATTTCTTTCATAAACAAAGGAAAGAGAGGGAGAGAGAGAGAGATTAGAGTTGGAAAATACTCATCAGAGATGCTAATTTGTTCCTGGCTGACAGGGAAAATGCGTCTTGTCCTCCTGGGAACCGTGCAGCAGAAGCAGCAGGAAGTTGACGTGCAGAATTAGGCTCTGCCCTTTGTAAGCCTCAGGCTGTTCTGCCTTTCCCCACTGCCCCGCCACCCCAGCCCCAGGGAGGGGTAGGACTTGGGGGGCTCTGGGCCCCAGAGCTTCTGCACCTGCTCCTTTGATGATCCTTTGAATTTGAAAAGGATTAAAGGGGAAGAAAAATCTCTACTAAGAAAAAGGATTTCCTCTTTCCCATCTTAAAAAAAAAAAAGAAAAAGAAAAGAAAAAAAAAAAAGCTTTTCCCTCTGCAAATGTCAGTGTTATCTAGAGCATTCAGGGGAAGCAGGCGGGCGTGAGTGCCGGAAAGCTGCTGCTCAGGGAAGCGCGCGCACACATTCATTTCAGTTCTTTCTGCAGCCACATCGTTTTTGGGCCTGAGGTAACAAACCTGCAAATTCTTTTTCATTTCCAAAGCCTTCCCTCAGGACAAAGTCCAGAATGTCTTACTTAGACCTCGTTTTAAATAGGAGGAATAATGTAAGCACAGTTCCCATCTCATCACTTGATGGGAGCACACTGGCCTTTCACGAAGGACTCAGCATCAGGACCAGAGAGGACCAACCTTTTCCTCTTAGAGATGAGGCCTGAGAGGACAGGACAGTGGCTTGAGTCCCCTGCAGACTTGAGGTCATGGTCCCCTCTGCCGCACCAGCTGACTCACAGCCTACTGCTGGCTTCATCAGGAGGACAAGCATCTGGCATCAGTTAGGGTCAGTGGGACAGATGCTTGCATTTGCATTACCCTTTGGGGGCCTAAAGGGTGGTTTGTTGTGGTTGTCACGGTCTTGGGCCTTGTCTCAGCTTTTGACTATGGAAGTACACACCAATGGCTCTGTGCCTGTCTGACAGGTGAAGAAGCCTCTGCAGTAAGTATGTGGGGGTCCCCAGGACTGCACCCCCCCACCCCTGTGCATCAGTTGGAGAATAGGAACACATGTGAGGGGACTTGACTCCCAGCCCTAGGCCCCTTTGTCTTGCCACGTGGTTTCAGTTCTTCATGGTAAATGGGGTTGGGTTTAACCTGTTAAACCTGTTTAAGCCCTGCTAGAAAGCATAACAGGAGCTAACTAGTGTGGGCATTTTCACCCAAGAGTCCCCAGTCCCAGCATTACGAAGAATTCAGAGGCAAAGCCTGGGGCTGGTGGCTGGAGGTGCTGTCCTGGTTGGAGTGTCTTTGATGATACTCATTGCTCTTTGAAGATGAGTGTGGGAAAGGTACTCCAGGATTAAAATTGTCTCAGATGTATTAATATTCCTGTTCTCCTTATAGACCACTGTTGAAAAAATCACACAAGTCTTTCTTATCTTTTCTCTCTTTTTTTTTTCTCTTTTTTCCTTACACAAAACCTTGAAGATACACACAAGTCTTTCTTAAAACCCAAGTAGACACTCACCGCCTACCCAGATCATTCCTTCTAGGGATCCCTTGTCACCAGACGCTGACCCCAGCAAGTTGGGAGACAAATGTGGAGCAGCTTAACTCACTAAAGCTGGGTGTCTAAGGCTCCAGCTGGAAAAAGTCTCTTCGTTACCGCTGCCCGTGGCATTTGGAGTTTTAAAATACAAACGGAACATAATCTACTCTGCCCCACCGCAACACACACTTCATAACTACTCTTCTGTTCCCCACCTGGTAGAAGGATGACCTGGCCTTCGACAGTGGCTTAAAGCCAAGGCCCCCTGCACTGCCTGACTGGGTGCAGAGGAGACTCGTTTCACCCTCCTAGCAGCCCTTCAGTGATTGGCCCAGGCCTCTCCACAGCAGCTACTGGCAAGCATCCCCGCCCCCCCACCTCCCCACCATAGCAGGGCCATGCGCCTGCCTTCCTCCTCCTGGTGCCACCCTATGCCTGCCCTGCCCCCTTTCCCCAGAGGTTGAGTTGGGAGCAGGTTAGGTACACTAGCTGGTTGCTCCTCAACACAGCCCTATGAAATAGGAATCTGCAGCTACTGCCTGCCGTTGTACATTTGAGAGCTCCAAGGTAAAGTGGCTAAGCCACCCTCCCTCCAGGGACAAGAGGAGCTCTCTGAGCTCAGGGTGTGTGAGGAGAGGCTGGGGACACTCAAGATGGGCCACCACCCCTTTCTGATGACCACTCAGGTGCTGGGTGAGAGGCTGATCCCCCCAGGGGGAGCCCCACACAGAGGAAGCCATAGCAGAGTTGATGTTATGGTTTCACTCCCTAGCCCCCAAGTGGGACTGGCTGGTCTTGGTTCCAGGGACTCTTCATAGGACTAGTGAGCACTCCACAGGGCCGGATCACAGGTGTCCTTTCTTCTTACTTCTGCTTCCCCTTTCCCCGTTAGGTTCGAACGATACAGGTCTGGCCGATCAGTTCAAAATGCCAGTAATGGAGTAAGTATTCCTTCAGAATTCTCCCATCTCCTGGGGCCAGACCTGCCCCTCCACATTTTGGAGGCTGGAGAGACCTCCAGTTTTTCTAACTGGGGTTAAAATATTTGGGAAATTGAAGAGCAAGCTCTGGTTGATGGGATACTAGGGCAGAGCTAGCAGGCACCCCTGATGGAAGGGTGGCAAGGGAGCCCTAAGTCTGCAGCTCCCAGGACAATCACTCAGCAACCCCTCCTTTTAGTGGGGAGGGAGAGGAGGCAGTGGGCAAGGCTCACTGACATCGAGACCCACCATGGACCCTGAAGGCGGGTGGGGAAGGGGGCCTTGCTTCAGTGCTGGAGCAGCGTTCATGCCTTTCCTCTCAGAACCCTGCGCAGTTGCCTCGCTAGCTTCTACTTCAGAGCCTGACTCCAGGGCTCTGGGGCTCATGGCCAATCTCACGTTCTGACAGGTCCTGAATGAAGTGACGGAAGACAACTTAATAGACCTGGGGCCAGGGTCTCCAGCCGTGGTGAGCCCCATGGTGGGGAACACAGCACCCCCATCTTCCCTCTCCTCCCAGCTTGCAGGCTTGGGTGAGTGTCTCACAGGGACAAAAGGACCTACCTACCTACTACCTGCCACTAGGGACAGGGGAAATTCCAAGGAATTGGAAGTCATTTGCTTTTTAAAGAAAGGGCACCTGCCTTTTTTCTTTTTTTTTTTGAGACAGAGTCTTGCTCTATCGCCAGGCGCCAGGCTGGAGTGCAGTGGCGCAATCTCAGCTCCCTGCAGTCTCCACCTCCCAGGTTCAAGCAGTTCTCCTGCCTCAGCCTCCCGAGTAGCTGGGACTACAGTCGTGCGCCACCACGCCCAGCTAATTTTTGTACTTTTTGGTAGAGAGAGCATTTCACCATGTTGGTCAGGATGGTCTCGATCTCTTGACCTTGTGATCTGCCCGCCTCGGCCTCCCAATGTGCTGGGATTACAGGCGTGAGCCACCACGCCCCGCCTACCTGCCATGTTTTATATAGAACATTCCCTGTGATTGAAGTGATTTCCTTTTCAATATTAATTAGGTCAAGGCCGGGGGCATAATCCCAGAACTTTGGGAGGCCAAGGTGGGTGGATCACTTGAGGTCAGGAGTTGGAGACCATCCTGGCCAACATGGCGAAACCCTGTCTTTACTAAGAATACCAAAAAAATTAGCCAGACATGGTGGCGGGCACCTGTAGTCTCAGCTACTCAGGAGGCTGAAGCAAGAGAATTGCCTAAACCAGGGAGGCAGGGGTTGCAGTGAGCTGAGATCACACCATTACACTCCAGCCTGGGCGATGACTCCATCTAAAAAAAAAAAAAATCAATATTAACTTGGTCAAGGAGGGCAGATAGGTTTCAGCTCATTGGCTTCTTGGAACACCGGTTTGAGGAGAATGCTGAAGCCACATCAGTACTTAGAAGTCTGTGATTGATTGGCGATATCTGCAGAAGGCTTGGAAACAGGAGGTAGCAGCACTGACATATTGCTCTCCTTGAACTGTCCATCAGCCTAAAGCAGTCCATTGTCTGGAACTTAAAAGAAGCTTTTCCACAGTTCATTTAGTTTGTACCTTCAAAGTGTATATATGACCCTAGCACATTAGTTAAAATTGATGACACCAATTTATAATAAATGAAATTATAACATTGAAATCATTAAGAAGCATGGCCCTCAAAATTCTTCTGTCTTGCTTTTCGGTTTCATTTTTTAAAATATTTCTCTGTCTGCCTTCCTTTCATTTAACTTGAGCTAAACTTCTAGTGGCTATCAGTTGCTGTAATTCTAGCTTCTCAATATTTCATATATTTGTAGCCACTATTTCTGTATCGGAACAGATGTCTCTGCCTTCAGTCAGTCCAGCATATATGACTGCCAGATTTAATACTTAAAATTCAAATTGGATTCTGCTACCTCCTTTCTTAAAAAAAACATCTAGTAGGCCAGGCATGGTGGCTCACATCCGTAATCCCAGCACTCTGGGAAACCAAGACGGGTGGATTGCTTGAGTCCAAGAGTTCAAGACCAGCCTGAGCAACATAGCAAAACCTTGTCTCTACTAAAACTACAAAAAATTAGCTGGGAGTGGTGGCACACACCTATAGTCCCAGCTACTTAGGAGACTGTGGTAGGAGAATCTCCTGAGCCCAGAAGGTCAAGTTGCAGTGAGCTGAGATCATGTTGCTGCACTCCAGCCTAGGCATACAGGGTGAGACCCTGTCTCAAAAAAAAAAAAAAAAAAAAAAAAAGGTGTAATGTCCACTGGGGTGGTGGCTCACACCTGCAATCCCATCACTTTGGGAGGCAGGAGTGGGAAGATCACTTGAGGCCAGGTGTTTGAGACCGGCCTGGGCAACAAAATGAGACCTTGTCTATACAAAATAATTTTAAAATGGCTGGGCATGGTGGCACACACTGTAGTCCTAGCTACCTGAGAGGCCGAGGTGGTGTGATCGCTTGAACCTGGGAGGTCAAGGCTACGGTGAGCCATAATTGCACCAAGAGAGTAAGACTCTGTCTCTTAAAAAAAAAAAAAAAAATGCTGAGCACAGTGGCTTGCAGCTGTAATCTGAGCACTTAGGGAGGTGGAGGCGAGAGGATCATGGGGTCAGGAGATTGAGACCATCCTGGCCAACATGGTAAAACCCTGTCTCTATGAAAAATACAAAAATCAACTGATAGTGGTGACACGTGCCTATAATCCCAGGTACTCGGGAGGCTGAGGCAGGAGAATCACTTGAACCAGGGAGTTGGTGGTTGCAGTGAGCCAAGATCGAGCCACCGCATGCCAGCCTGGGCACAGAGTGAGACTCTGTCTCAAAAAAAAAAAAAAAAAAAAAGTCTAGTGTCTTCCCACCCACTCCTTTACCTGGCATTTGGGGTATTACCAGCCACTTCCTCCACAGATCTCTTCCTGTGAGTACTGTTCACTTCACACGCCCTGGCCTCCAAACCCTGTGCCTTTGTATCTGCCTTTCCCCTTCTCCCCCAGCATCCTCCCACTCATCTTTACAGACCCACTGTGGTGTTGGTTTTGAGTCTTTCCTGACATCTCAAGCCAAGCACTTCTGTGGCTTGTCTCTTGCCTACTCTGAACTTCTTGAAGCTGAGAACCATATCAGATTTAATTTGGTCTACTTGAGATCTAGCTCTGAGCATGTTGGGTGCCTCAGAAATATTTGCTGAATAAATTGGTGTCCCAGGTCCTTGACGTTGTGACTGAGTTCATGAGGAGCCTATCTGAGAAGGGCATTACGGAAAATCTACAGGTGCACTGGAGCCAGTCCCTCCCTTGTCACCCCAGCAATTTCCCTTTCATTAGGACTCTTTCTCCTCCTTTAGTAGTTTGGGGGCAGTGGCTGTCCTGACCCCTATCTGGCCCACCCTGGCTCCTCCGGCACGTGTACATTGGGAGTACCAAGGGAAGTCCTTCCCCCCACCCCCTGCCGTGGAACCTAAACTCACCTGGCTGGTGCCCTAATTTGGGGACCCTCCATCAAATCTACAATCCACATTTTGTTCTCATCTGCCACCCATTTGTTTTGTTGCCACAGACTTGGGGACAGAGAGCGTCAGTGGCACCCTCAGTTCACTCCAGCAATGTAACCCCTGTGACGGCTTTGACATGTTTGCCCAGACGAGAGGAAACTCCTTGGCCGAGCAGCGTAAGACGTATGTGGGGCCCCTTCTAGTGGCTCTCTAAAGACATTGGGGGGATTGACCCATGCCTGGTCACAGGCCAGCACAAAAAGGCCTTTATTTACCATCTCCAGGACTGCCAGGAACTTTAAAGCATGGCTGTAAGGACTTGGCATTAAATGCAGATATTGAATAAACACCAACTGCCCACCCCCACCCCACACACACTCTCCTGCCCTTGGGGTTGATTGGAGTGTGATTTCTCCTGTCAGCTGTAAGAGACAGCTTTTCTCTTTCCTCCCCATGCTGCTGCTGCAGCAGACACCACCCCGCCTGGCCCCTCATCCACAGGAGAAGCTCGAAAGCAGGAGGGTGTAGCCATGCAGGGTGAACCCCTTCCTTACAGCAAGATTGTCCTGACTAAAATAAGTGGTCAGGGCAGAGAATCCTCTGAGAGCAGCTCTGGCTAGGATGAGCCATCTGGAATTCAAGGAGTTGATTCCAAAGCAGATAATCCCCTACATCTCAGGAAGGCACTGTACATGTTTTGAGCTTTCTGCTTAGCCTAAAGGCAGGTGAGACACACTTCTTCCCGCGTTTCCCAGTAATCCAGCATCTTGATGCACTCAGCACCCTGAGTCCTGCTTGGAACTCAGCAGGGTAACCAGAAAGCCAAGGTTCCATGTACCCTTCACCAGCAAAAGTTGCTTGTAAAACAGATACAGCTAAAGGAGTCAGGGAGTGGAGGAAGACCTCCCATAGTCAGTGACTGTCCAGGGTCCCAGAGACCACCCTCCCTGTCAAATGCCACTGAGGCTGCTGCTTATAAAGTAAGAATTAATGTTACTTTGCCTTTATCTCGTCTTCCCTCTGAGGAGTATTAGGGCACTTTGAACACCCTGTCATTGAGCTTCAGAGATGCCCAGTATTGTTACTCAAGAGAGGGATATTGAGGTGCACAAAACCTGAGATCGCAGAGGAGACTGGTGGCTCAGGCCGAGCTAGGACCCAGGCCTCCTAGCCTCTACTGCAGGGAGACAGCATGAGCCCTTAGCCCCTGCTCAATGCCAAGGTCTCAGGAAATGTTTTTCCAAGGACATCTGAGGAAGTACCATAAGATAGAGGCAATTACAGGCCACTGCCCCATCCCTCCATGACCACTGGGGGTAAACTAACTCTGCTGCTGCTGCTTCCTCTCCAGGGTAACCTATGAGGATCCACAGGCTGTCGGAGGGCTTGCTTCTGCACTAGACAGTCGAAAACAGAGCTCAGAAGGGGTAGGTCTTTAACCCTGTTTTTCTGCCTGGAGTCTTCTGGAAGGAAAGTCAGGTGGTTTGGTAAAGTTGGCTGGGTAATTCAGCAAAAGCTAGCTTGCACAGGGGCAGGGACACCCTGGGGGAGAGACCTGTAGAGCCCAGGTAGTACTTCATTGAGTCTTCACCTCACCCTGTGAGATGATGCCACACATGAGCTTTCCAATGCATCCAAGAGGAAACAGTCCTGGGGAGGTAGGAGATGGGCTAAGGGGTACCCAGAGAGCAGACAGCAAGCGGGGGGTCTGATCCTAGGAGTGTCCGACTCCAGAACCCCTGCTCTTCCTACCACGGTGGCCCCAAGTTCTCCAGGGGCAGGTCTCCTATGGTCACCTGCCACAGTGCCCCCGGGTTCTCAGTGCTCTGATAAAACCATGGACTGAGCAGGGAAGGACAGGGTGGCCCGAGCCACATCTCTGATGGTCATTTGTTGCTGGGCTGGCAGAGCAGTACCAACTCCATTAGAAGGCACTCGAGGGCCAGGGTTTGTTTGAGGAGCTGGTGCGGTTGGGTGGTGGCTAGGAGGGTGTTTTGTGACGGTGCAGGGGTACAGCACAGTGACGTGGAGAGAATGGTACGTATTTGGGCGCCCCATGCTTTCTGTACAATTTCAGATTACTAAAGGGGAAGAGATGTATGTCTTAATGCTTCTCATGAGATTTTTCTCTTTTTGCCTAACTAAGAAATGTGTATGGATGCATGTCTGTTTGCAGGGGCAGGGAGGAGGAGAGCCCTTGGAATAGCTGCCAGCAACAGCTGGAACTCCTCTCTGGGTCCCCTGGCTGGGCTAGAGAGGGCAGTGATCATCTGTCTACTGGACAGGGAGGTTTGCAAAGGGCTGTTTGCTTCCTGGGTACCAATTTTTTTTAGACTTCTGAAGCCCCTGTCCAAATGGGCCCAGGCAGGCAGCAGTGCTGGTTTCCAGGGGATGCTCCTGCGTGAGGGAAGGGACTCCTTCATCCACGCTGGCTCCCACCTGCTGGAGCTGAGGGCATGCATCCCTCTGCACTAGTCACCAGGGGGCGCAGAAGAACCAGCTGGCCGCCTTGGGTTCTCAGTGCCCTGCCTTTCCACAGGAGTGGGCAGTGCCACCTGATGAGACTAGGACACCCAAAATCAATGCAGTGCTCATGGCTCGGATTCTCCCATTACTTAGAATGTCCTCCTGCCTGCCCCAGGGAGGGCATTAGAGAGCCCAGCTAGGGGCCTACCAGCATACTGCCTGGTGAGGACCTCCCCTCCTCCTGGCCAACCCTGGCTTGGTTTGGGAACAGTCCTGTGCCCCTGTCAGGCAGACCTCATTTGTCCCTCACTCTGGCTCCAAGGCCTGCCTTGTCCATGCCAGGATGTGTCCTGCTGCACCCCTGGTGTTATCAGTGCCGAGGCCTGGGTCTGAGCCCGGGAGATGTAAGTGACTTCTCGCCCTTCACACATGGCATGTGTGGCTGGACTAGCTCCCTGTTTTCAAAGGTCCTGATGAATCCAGCAGGTTTTCCACCCAGTGGTAGACAGATTGCTTTTTTTTTTTTGAGATGGAGTCTCACTCTGTCACCTAGGCTGGAGTGCAGTGGTGCAATCTCGGTTCACTGCAGCCTCCACCTTCTTCGTTCAAGCAATTCTCCTGCCTCAGCCTCATGAGTAGCTGGTATTACAGGCACCTACCACCACACCCAGATCATTTTTATATTTTTAGTAGAGACAGGTTTTCACTATGTTGGTCAGGATGGTCTCAAACTTCTGACCTCAGGCGATCCACTTACCTTGGCCTCCAAAAGTGCTGGGATTACAGGCGGGAGTCACTGCACCCAGCCATCAGATTGCTTTTCATGTTTGCTGCTCAATGGTGCGATGCCACAGCCACAGCCTCAGTGATACGGGGCAGCAGGGCATGTGGGCTGTGTGTGTCCATACATATTCTTACCCACCTACAGCATTTCAGATTACCTTGTCCTATCCCAAGCCGTGCTGACCTGGAAATGAAAACGAGGCCAAAGGAGAAATTAAGAACACAATAAAGAAGGGGAGAAAATTATGTAGCCACACCTCCAGAAATCAGATCCAGCCAACTCAGTCAAGTAAAGGTCATGCCAGTTACTCAGGAGGCTGAGGCAGGAGGATCGCTCGTGCCCGCAAGTTTTTGAGACCAGTCTGAGCAACATAGTGAGACCGCATCTCAAATAAATAAATAAATATTTTAAAAGGCAATAAATAATACAACTAAATGGAGTATTCAAGAGCTTAGAAAAAGAATTCACAAGCAATTAGAAAAGAGTAAAAAAGAAAAAGTGCAGGAAGAAGTTTGAAAAAAGTAGAAATGCGTTTGTAAAACTGGTTCTTTGAAAAGCTGACCCCTGCCAACCCTGGCAGGGAATCTGGAGAAGCATCTCTGGTCAGCCTCTGTGATCTCCCGGAGACATCCCAAGGTCACGGGAGTAGTTGGCATGAGTATATGTTATCCTGTTGGGACTCTTGGTTACTAAACTTTTCTTCTTTTTTCCAGGCAGGTAAGGGGGACATGCCAGGGGTGGAGGTTGGGAGCAGGGTCATTACATTTCCTTAAATGGCAAAGGGTCACATCTGAAGAGTGACTTTTCTGTTTCCACAATATGTGCTATTGACTTCTTTCTCATGGGTCTTGCTGTGACTTTTCTTTCTGAGACTTTTCTGTCCTCGGCCCAGAAGAGAGGTAGAGGTGGGGACTCTGACCTGGAACCCATAGACAGCTGGCTCATAACCCAAGGAATGGTGAGGAGTCACCAGCCGAGCCCAGCCCACTGTCCGCCCCAGCCCCTACCTGCATAACGGCTTATGTGTTCCTCTTGTGACCTGCCGAGCCTTTGTAAATCAGACAGTACAAGGCCACATTCTCTTTCTGACAGGGGTGCCAAACTTTCCCTCGTGTTTTTGCATAATCTCCATAAGAACAGATTCCCAATCCCAGAAATAACCTCTAGTTTTCTGCTGAGGTCCCTGCCTCCTGGCCTTAAGAGTCTGGGACATTAGCAGGGATGAGGAGAGGGTCCTTTCCTTCCTTTTACTGTCTCTGGAGCTCTGGGCAGTATTCACTTTTCCAGGATGAGCACAAGTTACTGTGGCTTTTGCTTGGGAGGGAACAATTCTAAGGGAACAGACCCAAAGCATCTGACCAGTCAGAGAAGCCCCCTCTGGCCTAGTGCCTGTGAATTTGGCAGTCCTAGGCTTGACAGTTTTTATAATATAAAACCACTAAGTCCCCCAAAAGTATCTGAAACCTGTTAAAGAAGACATAGGCCTGGTGTGGTGCCTTACTCCTATAATCCCAGCACTTTGGGAGGCCAAGGTGGGTGGGTCACGAGGTCAGGAGATTCAAGACCATCCTGGCCCACATGGTGAAACCCCGTCTCTACTAAAAATAAAAAAATTAGCCAGGTGTGGTGGTACTCACCTGTAATCCCAGCTACTTGAGAGGCTGAGGCAGGAGAATCTCTTGAACCTGGGAGTCAGTGATTGCAGTGAGCTGAGATCGTGCCACTGCACTCCAGCCTGGCAACAGAGCCAGACTCCATCTCAAAAAAAAAAAAAAAAAAAAAAAAAAAAAAAAAAAAAAAAAAATACACAAAACAGAAATCAAGGAAGACAAAGCCCAGGGGAGTTCAATCTTATAAACACAGTTAGTTCTCATGTAGCAGAGCTTTCCTGGCCCACAGCCCTGCGAGGGTCTCTCCCGCCTTGTCTGTTCAGGTGGCCCTGATGCTGGTGCATGGAGAGAGAGGAAGCTCGTCTCAGGCTGCATGCCTTGGGATGACCGTTTCACCTCTTTCAGAGCCCAGAGCTCTGTGTCCATGTGGTGGAGCCTGAGCTGGAGAAAATGCAGAGAAGGAAAGATGATGAAAGCAGTGGGAACATGGGCCTCTCCCTCCGTGGGGAGTGGGGTGAGAGGAATACATAATGCCCCTAGTGTGCTATGCCAGGCTGTGGCCGGAGGAAAGGCCAGCAGGCCCTAGATGGCAAGCAGCACAGGGGCCACCTACTTGAGCAAAGTGTGGCCAGTGAGCAGGAACTTGGGCCATGCAGGACCACCCAGAGCCATGGGGGCGAGGAGTATCTGCCTGCTACCCAGCTTGGGCTGGTGCCCTCTGCACAGCTCTGCTGTCAGCCCAGGCAGGTCTCCCGCCACCTGTGATAGCAGCAGCACACTCCTGCTCTGGGTGAGGAGGCAGTTCCTCCACTGCACCCCAAGCCTGTTCTTAGAGAGATGCGCTGGCCCAGGCCTCTCATTGGCTTCTTCAGGGACAGGCTGGGCTCTGGCCCACATGTCAGGGCCCTTACAGCAGGGCTTCTGGAGACCATGTCCACTCATTGGGAAGATCCAGCCCATGTGTCCTTGTGCCTATTTATCCTGCAAAAAAGGATACTGCCCACACAAACCCCTGTGCGGGCGGCCTTGGCAGCTGGCGGTGGCGCCTGCCTCTGCCCACACAGACTGCCCCCCACTGCCTGGTCCCCATGGAGCGCGCCAGTCTCTAACTTCCCAAAAACATATGTAACTAACAGCTAACCTGGTGTCTTGCCTGACTGACTGCAGTTTTTTTTTTTTCCTTTACAACAACAAATATTAATTGCTTTGCCTTATTTCCCTTAGTGTAGAAACCTTGAGTCTTTTCAAACCTCCCAAGTACAAATTCTTTACTTGGAAACTTTTTGTACTATTGAATGAGATCAAAGGCGTCTAGACTTTTAGACTTCGTCCCAGTGGGGTGGTGCTTGAAGTGTCGTAGGAAGGGATTCACAGCTTCTCTGGAAATAGCACATCTGAGCTACAGAAGCTGTTCCTGTTGCATTGAAAACTGCACAGGTGGGTTCCCTTGTGGGCTTGGGGCTGTGGGAAGCTGCAGAGGAGCATCTGATGGAACCCTTGTGCTCCTGGGTCTCAGGTGTGGGGAAGTTAACTACCACCACCAGGCTTATTACCGGCTGAAGAGAAATGAGATCTGTCAACGGGCCAGCGCCGGGCAGCTCTCAGGGAGACTGCTACATGTGTGCTCTCTCTCCCTGGCCTCTCTAGTGTGAGGTCTTTTTGCCTCTCCTGGCTGCTTATCAGTTTGGGGTGTCTTTCTTATGCTGATCAGTTTGGGGTGTCTTCCTTATGCAGGGTGCAGCCAGAAAGATACCCTCATAAGTCAAAACAAGAACAGTGGTAGGTTAGTAAAGAGTCTGCTGCTGCCAAAACCCAGGTGTGGCTTTGGAGGGCAGGACTCCCTACTCACACCTTGAGGCCCACAAGGCTCCTCTTACTCTGGAAGGTTAATCCTAACTCCTGGAGTACCAGACACACCCCTCCCCCTTGGGCAGGCAACCCTCCCTCCTGATCCCTGAGGCAGAGCCGCCCCTGCCTGCAGTTCCAAGTAAGAATCAGCAGACAGTATTGTGGCTGACCTGCTACTCACATCAAAACCTGTGGCTTCTGACAGCCCAGATGCCTGTCTATGGACTTTGAAAATGGGCAGGGCTAGTCTAACCACTGCCTCGGCCAAGCCAGCCTGGCCGAGCTTCGGGCTGTAGTCTCTACTGGAGGGCTTTCCTGTGCTAACTTCCTTCCCTTTTCCCTCTTCACATGTCTTCTTCCTTTCTGTCCCCTCTTCCAACTCATACTCTTCTTCAGATCCCTCAGACCAGCCTTCAGCTTGGATCATTGCCCAAGAAAATGCTGAAACTGTAGCATATCAGGCTGGGCACAGTGGCTTACACCTGTAACCCCAGCACTTTGGGAGGCCGAGGTGGGCAGATCACTTGAGGCCAGGAGTTTGAGACCAGGCTGACCAACATGGCAAAACCCCATCTCTGCTAAAAATACAAAAAAACTTAGGTGGATGTGGTGGCACACACCTGTAATCCCAGCTACTCAGGAGGCTGAGGCACAAGGATCATTTGAACCTGGGAAGCAGAGGTTGCAGTCAGCCAAGGTTGCATCACTGCACTCCAGCCTGGGCAACAGAGCAAGACTGTCTCAAAATAAATAAACAAAAATAAAACTATGAACTTCAGAGCCAACAGCCTTCTTAGGAATCTGCTGGGCCAGCCCCTAGTTTGACAGATGAGGACGCCAAGGCCTCCTGGGGGCCTGGTGACTCGCTCAAAGCTGCATGAAGAAACAAAGAGTCCCCTAGAACAACACAGTGCCCCCTCCTCTAGCCAGGGCTCCGCTTCCCTCCCATCAGCCTGACAAAGGAGTACGTCCTCGGCCTCCCACGGTTTCTTTAGTTCATATTTTCCAAGAAGTGTACAAGTTTAGTCTGATTCTGATAGCACCTACATTATTAGAAGGAACTTTGCCCTGTTGTAATACTCAAGGCATTTATTTACCAGGACGAGAGGTTTAGATGCTAAGGTTTTGTGTCCGGCCACAAGAAAGTCAGTTTAAGTGTATGTTATATAAGCTCAACTGTTAGTCAGCAAGCTGCTCCACCATGGTTCACGCCCTGAGGCCAAGTGCCTTCCATATTGTAATGAGTCACTTCCAATCATTTCTGATATCCCCGGGTTTCTGAATTAGAAAACAGAAGCACCAACCTGGGAGTTAAGGGTTCTGAGTCATTAGTATTGAAAACCAAATACAATCTAGCAATTGCCAGATGAGGACAGAGGCCAAGCATTGCTCAGGCCTCTGTCCCCTACTCCTGCCTCTCCACCCAAATATCTGAGGCTTCTTAGGATAGAAGAAACTTGGGAGCTCTCTGGTGAGGAAAGTGGGGTCCAGAGAGGAGCGACTCACCCCAGGTCCTGCCACCAGTGAGTGTGAGGGTCCAAATGGACCCCACCCAGTGCACTCTCCCCTCCCCCTCAGCGTGCCCTCTAGGGCTTGGGCTGGAGGATGCCATTCCATAAACATACCACTTATTTGGGAAAATCTAGGACAGGGAAGAGAAGGGTTCCCATGATCCAACTTTTGGGAAACTCTTTTTGAGGGGGTGAGGAATTTCTTAAGTGTCATTGTTTATTTTCTGAGCATACTGGCTCTCAAGATTAATCTCCAAAGAAGAAAACTAGAGCATGATCCCAGGCTTAAAGGATTTGTTCTTCAACAGCAACAAAACAATTACATGATAAATCTGAAGGTTCAAGGCCCCTGACCCCTTAGTGTCTTTGTTCTAGCTTTTGCAACACATTGGAAAGCTCAGGACATCTAATCTCAGTTTCTCCTAAGCGAACAAGTTGGTCAGGTGTAAAGAAAGGGCTGGTGTGCACTCTAACCGCGCGTGTGGGGGTGTTTTCTCTGTGGAGACGCTGCTGACTTTCTGAGCTTCAGTTCTGGGGACTCAGCATGGCATGTGTCCTCCCAGAGGCGAGGCATTCTGACTTACAGGCATGGAGAGCATGATAATTGGCGTGTCCCATTCCAGGAATGTGTCAAGGTGGAAAGCCTGCCAGCAAGCACAGAGTGGCAGATCGCACCTGTGTGCCCTACAGCTTTTTTTTTTTTTTTTTTTGAGGCGGAGTTTCGCTCTTGTTACCCAGGCTGGAGTGCAATGGCGCGATCTCGGCTCACCGCAACCTCCGCCTCCTGGGTTCAGGCAATTCTCCTGCCTCAGCCTCCTGAGTAGCTGGGATTACAGGCACGCGCCACCATGCCCAGCTAATTTTTAGTATTTTTAGTAGAGACGGGGTTTCACTATGTTGACCAGGATGGTCTCGATCTCTTGACCTCGTGATCCACCCGCCTCGGCCTCCCAAAGTGCTGGGATTACAGGCTTGAGCCACCGCGCCCGGTCTGCCCTACAGCTTTTTGATGGGCAAGGTAGTGCCCGCCTTAGGCATGGTTAGCACATCGATCAGTCATTTGTGTTCCACCTCACAGTGAGGACACACATGCTTCTTGTCCCTAGGCTTCATGTCTGGGTGATAAAATTCCCTGGTGCCTTTTCAATTCAATATTCTTTTTTTTTAGATGGAGTCTCACTCTTGTTGCCCAGGCTGGAGTGCAATGGCACAATCTCGGCTTATTACAATCTCTACCTCCTGGGTTCAAGTGATTCTCCTGCCTCAGCCTTCCAAGTAGCTGGGATTACAGGTGCATGCTACCACGCCCAGCTAATTTTGTATTTTTAGTAGAGACTGGGTTTCTCCATGTTGCTCAGGCTGGTCCTGAACTCCTGACCTTAGGCAATCTGCCCACCTTGGCCTCCCAATGTGCTGGGATTGCAGATGTGACCCATCGCTCCCGGCCCAATTCAACATTCTTAAGTCCCCAGTAAGTCAAAGAAATAATGGGCAACACAGACTCTTCTTAATCTGATCAGTGACTGGCTTGGGCCTTTCTGAAAATGATCTTGTGGGCTTCCCATGTTGGGTCTGAAGTTAGGACACAGAGTACATTCCTCAGAGCAAGGGACCAGCAGAGCTCACTGAGGGAGTGAAGAGCTCCAGTGGCATCACAGACACCTGCTCAGAGCGCTAGGTCCACCTGGGGCCCCAAACCACCCTCCCCCACCAGCAGCAGCACGTGTCAACCTCCAGGACTGGAGTTGTCACATCATTGCTGCTGATACCTGTTCTTTGTTTTTTTTCCTTTGTGAGGGTCATGTTATTTTTTACATTTGATAGACACTGAGGTATTCCTTTTACTGCTTATTTTTACTTTAGTCTTTCGGTGGCATTAGGGTGAAGCCTGCTATAGACACCGTGCTGGCATTTTTTTATAGAAATGGGGAGCCCTAGGAGGGTACATCCCAGAGCCAGGGTAGGTGAGGAGGTGATGAAGGGCCATCACCTCATTTTCCTAGGCTGGGAGCCAACATTCCATTAACATGGCTTCTAGGGAGTTAAAGGTTACCTTTACTCCTTACCATGTCATATTTGACACCTGGATTTTTCAGAGTCTCTGTCCCTGAGGTGCTTGGCACAGTGGCCCAAGCAAGGTGGCTATTTGAGCACCCCCGAGGTACACCTTAGTTTGCCTGAAAGCCGCCACCTCCCTGGCTCTGGCTGCAGCACCCAGTGCTCAGCTGAACTTGGTTTCTCTGACTCCACTGAGCACAGCAAAGAAAGGGCGAGACTAAGGGAGCTGTGGCATTCAGGGCTGCCTCATGAATCTCCCCCAAAGAGACACACAGAAGACTAAAGCCCCACAGGCCCGTTGGTCATCAAAGCCCTCGTTTTTTGCTGTGTTTGTGTTGATGGTAAAATGTGCCTGCCTCTGTCTACCAGGCCACACACCCAGTCCAAGGGAGCACACACCTCCTCCAGTGCCCCTCTCCACTCAGAAATGCACCAGGACGAATTTCAAAATATCTTCAGCTGAGCAAACAGATCCCTACATCCCCCAGGGCTGGCACTGCACCTGTACCCTGCTCTGGGCAGGTGGTCACTTGGCCTCCTCTGGGTTGGGCCTGATGGCGGACTATCACAGTGGCTGAGTTCAAAATCAACCTGCATGACAGCGCCTTCCTGGGGTTAGAAGGCGCTTTGCAGCCCAGGGCTGACCCCACAATATGAGAGTAGAAATGCATAGTCAAAAAGTTCTCCATCTGAAGAACGTGTACAGCCCCCTTCCTTCCCGCTGGCCCTGCCAGGCAGCCTGCTTCTTCTCATTCGCACCTCATTGCTTTCCTCACCTGCCGTCTCACACACGGCTGCCCTGTGTTGCCCCTGTGTGCCGTGCAGTGGTGTTTTTTTGCTCTGTGTACGTTTTGGTTTCATTTGGGGTTGCTGTTGATGATTTCCTTTGTTCGGTGTTCTGTCTCCCTCGCTGGCTGTGTGGGGGCTGCCTGGCCCGCCGCTTGCCACCTGCACAGATCCCCGTTGCGCAGCCCTCTGTCATGGACGACATTGAGGTGTGGCTCAGGACGGACCTGGTGAGACTCGACTTTTGTATTTCATGTGTGGGGTGTGGAGCGGCAGAGACTCTTCTGAGGACAGGCCTTGGGGGAGAGTCGGCGGGGGCTACACCCCTGTCTGGGTTGGTGGAGAAGGGAGGTCTGGGCAAGCTCTGCAGCTCCCCCTCCTCCCCGACATCAGCCCATAGCCGCAGGTGCTGCGGTGGCCTCCCGGCCCGGGGAGGCCAGCTGTGCTGGGGCCAGGCTCTGGGCACAGCCTCCCTCACCCACGCAGACCCAGCCCTGGCCGGCTCCAAAACACACACTTGCCTTCCCCAAGTTCCTTTTCCATTTTAGATGTGTGTGCGTGCTTTGGTTTTCAGGGGAGGGAGTGGAGAGCATGTTTTGTTTTGTTTTGTTTTGTTGTTTTCTTTTTCTTTTAATTGTGAAGTATACACACGGTGCTTTTGTTTTTTAATTCGCTGTCATCCCCCTCCTGCCTTCCTAATTTTTGATTTAAAAGAAGCCCTGCCCCAAAGATCCATTGTCTCCATCCTCAGAGATAGGGCTGGAAGATGAGGATACTATGCATCTGAAAATGGCAACAGGTCCCAAGAAAGGAGAGCTGCAGTGGCTGTGATGACACCTGCCGGTCCCTCCCTTTGTTCTTTCACTCTCAGCAGCCCAGTGGGGCGTCAGGGTGGCGGGCGAAGAAGTGTACTCTGGGAAGTGGCTTGCCCAGAGTCATGGGCTAGTTGGATTCTCCCCCAGAGCTGGAGACACCTCATCTCCCTCCTAGCTGCCCACTCTGCAGGGGGCCTTGTCCCCAAGCAGAAGAGCCTGTTGAGTTCTTTAACCACAGGTCAATTAACCTGGCTGGCTGTGGGCTGGTGACCTGGCCCCTCCCATACTAGGACAGCAGGCCTCAGGTTGGGGCCTCTTGCTGCTCTGAGCCTCCTCCGCAGAAGGTCAGGCTTTCCAAAGACATGCCTTGCCAAAGGAGGCAGCTGCCAGGGTGTCAGGGAGGAAGAACACACCCCGGGACATCTTTCCCACGGGGATACCTTGAAAATAAAGTTCTCCTCTCACAGAAGCAAGGCGGGAAAGACTAAGGTCCTTAACTTCTAAGGGGGACCCCAGGGTCCAGACAGGGAAGGGATGTGTCCAGTAAGGCTGCATAGCAGGTCAGTGGTAGAGCCAGGAAGGACCCAGGTCTCCTAGCCCAGCCCAGGGCTTTGTCACTTCCCCATCCTGTCCCTTCCCAGTAAGGCCCTGCTCATGCAGTCCCCCAGGAGTCCCAGGAGCTTAAGACACACCTTGTTCTCCAAACAAAATCAAGTCTGATGCACTTTAACTTTTGAGTGCACAGAGCCTTCGTGGCTCCTTCAAGAGCCAGCAGCAGGTGACGGGATCTGGGCCACAGGAGGAGGCTGGTGCAGCTCCCAGGAGGCTGCGGGACACGGCTTCTGGTGGCACAGCCTCCACTGCCAAAGCACCCACTGAGGGACAGGCCCTGTGCTGGGGGCTTTGTGGCCCTGAGACATCCAGGTCTCATGCAGTTTCCAGCTATTGGTGTGAACAGTGTCTTCCCAGAAACCCCGTGGCTGGCATGAAGTGGGTATTGTACTGGGCACACGTGACCCTGCATGTGCTCAGGCTCAGCCGCTGTGGCCGCTGCTGTGCGCCTCTCCCTGCAGCCTCGAGGGTGCAGAAGTCGGGATCCGCCCTCCACAGCCCAGGCTGGAGAACCAGCTCGCACCGTTTTTGGAGTTTTCTTTCCAGCCCTTCTGGAGGATCAAAACCTAAAACATATTTGCATTTTTTTTTGCTTTTTTTTTTTTTTTAAAAAAGCTTCTGTTATTCCAATAAGAAGCGCAGTATTTTGCACAGGAATCTAGAAACAGGGAAAATTAGGAAGTTTTGTTGAGGCTCCCCTGGTCAGTGCTGCCCTGGGGTGGCCATGGGCAGACAGGTGGCTGGGCCGGCAGTGCCAGGAGCAGTGCCCTAACTCCATTCTCTCTGCTTCTCCCACAGAAGGGCGATGACCTGGAGGAGGGTGTCACAAGTGAAGGTATGGGCCTGGCCAGTGGCCTTACAGCCCTCTTTGTTGCTCCTGCCCCAGGCTGCACAGGGCCTACCCCCGCGTCACCTTGGAGCCTCTGCTGCCAGAGCACCTGGTGCCAAGCCCTGAGCCGTGGGCTTCACAGGTGGCTTGGTCCCACCCAGGTCTTATGCTGCTATGGGAAGTGTTATTTCTCTTATCTAGTTTATCGGGAAACAGAGGTTGGAAAGAACATATGACTTCCACCAGGTTCCAGAGCCAGTGAATAGTGGGTACAGATTGCCACCGGGTCCCGACCCACAGGTGCTCAGCCCCGCTCAGACATGCGCAGTTTGTCGGGGTGTGCAGCAGCACCCTTGGGCCACTGAGCCAGAGGAGGAGCCTCTCCTGGGCCTCAGCTGATGGGCTGGATGGGAGCAGCAGGGTCTTAGTTCTCCCACACGGCCACCCCCACACTCCCTGCCCTCGCAGCTCATCCTGCCGCACTCCACCCACCTGCCCGTGCTCTACTACCTTCCTCGGCATCTCCTCAGTCTCCCCTGTCAGTGGGCAGGGGTGGGGTAGGTGGGATGGTCCCTGCCTGGTTAATCAGGAGCTGGCCCCTCCAGCTCACACTGCCCCACCCCCAGTGCTGATCTGGAAAATGGACAAAACTCCAAGTCAGCAGTGGGATGAGTGCTCTGGGCTGTGTTTTCCAGAGCCTCTCCCTACAGGCCTGGAGAGCTGGGCACAGCCAGGACCTTCCACCCACACTGCAGCTTATGAAGCCCTCCGCACCCACCTGCTCCTAGGGGGACTTCATGCCTGCCCTAGAGGAGGAAACAGGCTGGGGAGTGGAAGGCTGTGCTTCCTCTGGTGGGCAGCCCTCACCAACCCTAACCCTTCCTTGGTTTGTATTGCAGAGTTTGATAAATTCCTTGAAGAAAGAGCCAAAGCTGCTGAAATGGTTCCCGACCTCCCCTCGCCCCCCATGGAGGCTCCTGCCCCGGCCTCAAACCCTTCTGGCCGGAAGAAGCCAGAGCGGTCGGAGGATGCCCTCTTCGCCCTGTGAGCAGGGCTGTGGTTTGCCTCCCCAGATGGCGGGTCCCCGCTCACACCCTCTGGACACCAGGCACTGGCCACTTCTCCATCCCCAGCTCCACAGGGCCTGCACTCCCGTGTCTCCATGGAAAAGCCACCGTGTCTGCTCCCAGGCCTCCCACTAGTCAGGACCAGCTTTAGCCACCTTCTTTTCTCTGAGTGGTGGGACAGCTACAGCCAGAGACTCCCACCCCTCCCACCACGGGCCCCTCTGCCCATGTTTCCTCCCAGGAAGGGCGGGCAAAGCGGCCCAGCCCCAAGCAGGTCAGCCCCTTGGCAGTGCTTCCTGAGCAGACCACTGGGCCTGTCTTTCCTCCACCTGCCCACAGAGAACGAGCAGGCCTGGCCCCGCCCTGCGCTCACCTCTGCCTGGCTCAGCGACCTTCTCAGGCACCCTCGCTCCTGTGTCCCTCTCTCCCCAAAGGGGCCTGATGGCACTTCTGGAAGAGCAGGATGTGGCTGCGCCCATGGCCTGGTCTCCCTTCTTGGACTTGTCACCTTGTGACGCTTGGCTTTTTGGCATTTGAGAAGGTTCTGCCGGGTGTCCACAGTGGGGCTGCCTCTCACCTTCTTGACCCTCTCTCCATCACTCAGCTGCTAGCCCAGGCCTCACACCTGAGCTGGCTCAGTAGGCAAGCCTGGTACCAAGAGGCCCTGCAGGCTCCCAGGGCAGGGAGAGGGCAAAGGGCATTTGGGAGGGCAGCAGGCAGCCCACAGACGGTGACCATGTGGCACGCTGCTGAGACGACACTACCAAGAAACCAAACTGCCATGTGCACACCACAGGCCCACACGCACACACCGGGCCCTGGCTTGCGGAGAGGCTTGCCCTGGAGGCGGTGCTCGGGCTTGCCTGAGGAGGCGTTTCGGGTGTGCACGTGGGCCACACTCAGGCTTGTGGCCTGGCCCATCGCAGCCTCGCACCTCTGCCTCCAGAGCCAGCAGCAGACAGCTTTGCGGCATGCTTGGAGGTTCCAAATGACAGAGAGGCCCGAGCAGCACTGAGGCCCCTGCCCTGCTCCCTGGCATAGGCCTGGGCCTGCTTGCACAGACTCCTGCCAGCCTGGCCACAGCTTACACTCTCCCCACAAGCTGATCCTGAAGGCAGACAGAGCCTAGGGCTGAGCAGCTAGGGGCTGGTAACATGTACTCCCACCCCGTATCCTCTCTGGTGTGTCTCCTGGCCATGGGCAAGGGACTCATGGGTCATGCTAGGCCCTGGTCCAGCCAGACACCCCCACACCTCCCACCAAGCTGCTGTTGCTCAGGAGGTGGAGAAATCTGCAGCTGTGCGCACCCCTGTGCGTCTCGGGCCCAGCTCGCTGGGTCATTGTGCTCCTGTCCCCTCCAGCATGCACTGCCTAGGTCAGCACGGGTTCCCCACCCATAGTACGGTTAGCCCTACCCACCTGGCAGGACAGACCAGACCACCAGCTGAGCAGGGAAAGGGGGCTGGGCTTGACAGGAGAAGAGACCAGTGGCACGGTCTTTGGGGAGCGTTTAGGATGGTGACTTCAGCTGGGGGCTGTGCTGAGCACAGCAGGAGCATTCAATGGAGAGCAGGCACTGCCCGACCCAGGACCGCATGCCAGGCCAGCGGCCCTCCAGCTTCCTCCAGAAAGGAGACCTCGGTCTGGCTGAGGGCAGGACTAGCTGGGATGTCACACTGTAGTTCCTCGGGTTCAGCCAGGAAGCTCCTCCATGGAGACTGGCCAGCCTGATTCCAGCCCTGTCTGGCAGCACCTGCCACAGCTGGCCCCTTGGCTCCCTGGCACTCGGTCAGCCCCTGCCCCTCTCCTCAATGTTTCTCAAAGGCAGAATCCCCTGAGGCCAACTGGAATGTGCAGACTTCTGAGGTCAGCTGGTTTCACTTGAGCTGCGGAGAAGGTGGCTGACTGCGTTTAGGTTGTCTCGGAGGCCTTGCCAGAGCTGGGCCTGCGGGTGGTGGGTGGCTGGACCTCAGGCAGCCATTGCTCCGCAGCCTCAGCACTGCAGCCCAGACCCGGTGTCCTCGGAGGAAAGAGCCAGCCTCCCTGCCTCATGAAACGGGAAGTCCTGGAAGGTCAGGAGCCTGGAGGCTCTGAAAGGGGCAGGGCTTCTGTAGTGTGTGAAGCTGAGATAGGTGCCCTCCTGGGGAGCCCCCGGTCACCCTGTGGGCACCTATTCTTCATACCCACGCCCAGAGCTGCCCCACCTAGCGCCAGCGCCAGTGCCAGGGGCAGCAGGGAGTGGTGGATCCCTATGGGCTGGCAGGCGGCCATTGGCCGTGCCGACAAGTGTCACCTGCCTTCCTGGCCTGGAGCCACCCCTCGGGTGGCTTTCAAGCACCCACTTGCACCTGCTGTCCAGAGGTAGCCTGCCCCACCTGTAGACAGAGGGGCCACGTGCTTGAGGCCCGCACAGGAGGCAAGTATAGCCCCAGTGCCCCAGAGGGGGTTCTGCTCAGCCCTGGTGAGATGTCCTGTCCCAAGACCTCTGCTCCCACTCCCCACCACCTGGGGAGCACAGCCCTCAGGCTGCCTGGTCCAGGAAGGGGGCGCAGCCCTGTCAGGAAACCTGGACTCTCAAGGGCCACCAGCCTCTCCATGAGTGTTAGAAATCACAGATACAGTATATACTTAATTACACTAAATTATTGCTGGGATTCCTCATAAGCACTAATTATACCTGATTGTAGGTTAAAATATTTATTTTGTAAAAATATTTTCTTGGGAATGTGTTTAACCCTTTCTGTGTTCATTGTGTGCTGAGATGTGAAAACTAACCATTCCCTCCTGCCTACCTTTTTGGCCAGTGGGCAGCAGAGAATGGCACTTTGTGCAGTTTGGCTGCCGGCACCGTGGGCCTTTGGCCCGCCTGTGGCAGAGTGGTCCCTACCAGGGCAGCCCCCAGGCACTGAGCAGGCTGGCTGTGTCCAGGCTGGGAGAATGACCCACTCGCTTACCACTGTGCATGGGACAAGGAGCTCTGGAGTCTCAGGGGGTTGCTGCTGGCCTGGGCCAGAGGGAAAGGTGGCCATCCGTCTGTCCTGTCTGTCTGTCTTTTAGCGCCTCCATGTGAGTGATGGTGCCTTGGTTCACTGGCCTTCCCCCACTGCCCCACCCTGCCACCCAGCGGTCTTGGGGCCTGTGCTGTCACTCCAGCCACTGGGGAGGAGAGGCCGCAGCCTGGAGACTTCGGGCAAGGACTCCGAGTGGCCCAGGGGCAGCAGATGCTGACAGGGCAGCTGCGGCCGATGCCCACGCTCCTGCCCGCCTCCTTCCCGCTACCACACCCCACTTTGGGCCCCGAAGACACACACGGCTGACTCAGTCGGGCCCAGCCTCCTGGATGGCTCGGGGTAGGCCATGGGTCTTCCTAGGGCCAGGCCAGCCCTGGGCAGCTCAGGAGGAGCAGTGTGGAGGAGTGCTTGCTTGCAGCCTGGCCTCAGCCTCTGGCACTGCTGGAGTGGCCTGGGAGCCTCTCCACTGTCGGCTGTGGGGATGTCTGACCCCCTTGGGTTACAGCCAGTCTTTCCCACCCAGAAAGAAGTGTTTCCACCTCAGAGACATTGCCAGTCAGCCCCTGAAGTGCTCACCTCCCCGTCTCCTGTGCCTGCCTCCAGCCCTTCCTGTCTGTGGGGTCCACGTCAGCCTTCCCCTGCAGCCACCAGCCGCAGGGAGCAGGCGTCAGCCCAGTTGAGAACTGCTTCTGTCTGTCCATACCTCCTGGCTCTCCCAGAGAGGGGGATGGATATTTATTTCCTAAAGTTTGCACTTAATTTGTGAGGATTCTCAGGATTGTTGGGGGCTACTGAAAAGAGGAATGTGTTGAATGTTGCGTTTGCTGTCCACTCGTCCTAGAAGTTTAGTGTTCTTGTCACTGTCATGTGTGTCTGTGGGCAGAGCTGGTTCTGGAGGGTGGGTCAGTGCACCCGAGGCTCAGAGCATCCATCCACCCCACTGGCCCTCCTTCCAGATACCCTCTCTCTAGTTGGGTTCTTGCATGTAAAATACTCCACAATAAATAAATAATTGAACAAATGGTACCTGCCTGGTCTGTTGAATCAGCCACGACTATCCGAAGGGCCAGTTTTGACCACCTGCTTTCTTTAAACAGGGGTGGCCATGGGGACCCTCAGTCCACCTGTCCCCACTGCCCAGGCTGCCTCAGAGCTCCAGGACCCAGTGCAGTGGTGTTCCTGGGTCTCACCCCAGGTCCCAGATGGGCAGGAAGGAGTCCACTCACCCTTGCCCAGGGCATCCAGGCCTTGAGCAAGCATGCCTGAGCCACCCCCGGCCCCCTTTAAGCCTCAGCCCCCATCCTCAGCTGGGCTTCCACAGCTTGGATGGGCGTCATCTGTAGAGCCTGTGCTGGGCACTGAATTTGAGAACTGCTGCTCCAAGCCAGGTAGACTTCACACTTTTCTTTAACAGCTCTACTGAGCTATAATTCATATAGCATACAATTTATCCATTTAAAGTGTACAATTAAGTAGTTTTTAGAATATTCACAGGGTTGGGCAACCATCACCACAACCAAACTGAGAACATTTTTTTTTTTTTGAGACGGAGTTTCGCTCTTGTTACCCAGGCTGGAGTGCAATGGCACGATCTCGGCTCACTGCAACCTCTGCCTCCTGGGTTCAGGCAATTCTCCTGCCTCAGCCTCCTGAGTAGCTGGGATTACAGGCACATGCCACCATGCCCAGCTAAGTTTTTTGTATTTGTAGTAGAGATGGGGTTACACCATGTTGACCAGGACGGTCTCCATCTCTTGACCTCGTGATCCACCCGCCTTGGCCTCCCAAAGTGCTGGGATTACAGGCTTGAGCCACCGCGCCCGGCCGAAAGAAGCCTCTTTCCCCCTCTCCCCTTGTCCTGAAGGTGGGCGCCTGCAGCCCTTTGTTGTAAGGCAGCTGTCCCGGAAGCAGGCCCCCAGGCCCAGAGGCAGGCCCAGAGGCATAGGGAGTCATGAGGGGTGCATTGTGGGAGCCTGTGGGACCTGTGCCTTCTCCAGGTGGCTTGGGAGGCCGAGGGCCCTTTCATCCCTTCGCTGGGGCTTAAGGATGGACCTCAAGTTGGGATGGACTCACCAAACCCCCAGTGAACTTGGAGATCTGCCCAGCCTCTCGCTATGCCAGTGAAGACACGGAGGACCAGAAAGAGCTATAGGCTTGCCCCAGGCTGTACAGGGAGTAGTGGTGGAACCAGCAGCCAACCCAGCCAGAGCCAGACCTCCCAGACAGGGCCATAGATGGGCAGGAAAGACACCATTGCCAGCAGATAAAGCTGCCCCACGCACCCTCAGCAGCAGCTCTTCTGGGAGGGTGGCTCAGGAGGGGCTCCCCTGCCCACCGACAGGAGGCAGGTGGTCACGGCAGGGGCCATGTTGGGACCACCACCATCACCAGTCGTAACCAGGCACAATCGATAGATGGTCACTGCAGTGTGGACGGAGAGGGCCAGAGATGGCAGTGACACATGGAGGGCATAGACGTGGACACAGACAGACTCCTGGGCTCTTCCAGTCTTCCCTCCTCAGCGCTTGGATGGAGAGCTGTTTTCCACCTCCAGAGATCTGGGAGGGGCTGCGTGGAGAACTGTGGTTCCTTCATGGCTCACAATGCACCTGCGCATGAAAGGAGAAAGAGGGATTCTTTTCCAACCCACCTCTTTTTCAAGAAAAGGGGCTCCTTTGGGTCCTGGTGGTAGCGGGGAGGGCTGAACCTGAGACCTTGGATAGGTTGCATGACCCACCCAGAAATTCCACCAGTTTATTTTAGAGGAGCCCCTGTCAGAGCTTTTGGGGCAGAACCCAGAGGAGTCTGTCCATGGCCTCTAAGCCGAGACCCTTAACATCCCAGAAAGCAAAATCTCTACTCTCAGCACTGGGGAGTGGACTCCATTGTCTGCTGCCACCTCCTGTCCACCCCATGCCTATCTGGGGTTGCAGGCTCAACTGTAGGTGTTGAGTAAGTCACTGTCTCACTCTGGGCTTTACTCTCCTGATCCATGAACTGGTATAGTGGATGGTCAACCCAGTGCCCACAGGGGCCTTATTACATTGATTTCCTCACTCTCTCTTCTGCCAGCAGGACTCACCCTGTTCAACAAGCACTTGGCCTCTCCCCAAAGAGCAAGTTACCCCCCCAGGGAACAGTCTTCTTCCTCAGTCTTTGTGAGCTACACCTCTCATTGTGCAGCAATCTTTGGGGTTCAAGTAGCTCTTTTGTGGAGGGCGTGTTCAGTGACTCATGGTGCCCACATGAGTGTGAACCTCCAGGGCAAAGCTGGCCATGGAGGCTCAGAGAGGGCTGGAAAGAACTTGCCCAGCTCACCGCAGAGCTCAAGCGGGAAAGAGACCACGAGGGTCACCTAGGACCAGAATCTTCCACGTCCACAGTCATCTCACCCCATTATGTACAGATGGAGAAGGGGAAGTGGAGACTCACGCTCTGAGCAGTCTCTTCCCTCACCCTGGTGCCTTGGCCATAATCTGGGCAGGGCCCAGCCTGTGGGGCAAAGATTTGTTTCCTTGGTGGCAGAGATGTAACCCAGCTTGGCTCCTACAGCAGTGAAGGCTCTGCAGGGCCAGGCAGGGTGGCAGGAGGCTCGGGGAGTGGGGAGGGGTTTCAGTAGCTCAGGCAATGGCGAGAGTGGCCAACCCAGTCTTCCCGCCCAGTGCCTGCCCTACCACCCACCGCTGAGCTCCGGGCACCAAGGGCATGGCTGGACAGGACCAGCGGCCTGGGAAGAGGCCCTGCCGGCGCTGGACGCCTGCCCGAAAAGGCTCGGAACCCACAGAGTTTCCCAGTCTCTAAGAGGCCTCCCAGTCTCTAAGAGGCTTGGAGAGGAAGCCGGGGAGATGGCGAACCCGTCTCCCAGTTGGCAAAGCCGAGGTCGGGCAGGGGCCGGGCTGAGTGACTTGGCCGGAATCCTCCTCTCTGGGAGCGCCACGCAGTCCCGGGTGGGGCAGTCCTAGGTATGTCCGTCCGGTGCCCGGGACGCGCACCTGGCGGCAGTCCCGGCCAGGTGTCTGGCCTGGGGGCTGAGCCCAGCCGGTCCCCGCCGCCCCTCCCTCCGCTCCCCCCCGGGTCGAGCGGGCGCAGCGCATGTGACCCAGGGCCGGGCTCCCGGGAGTTACGCGCTGACGCCGCGTCACCCCACTCCGGGCCGGGCGCCCATTGGCTGCGCCGGGCCCGGGCGGGTGGGGCTGGTCTGGCTCGGCGCCCCGGCTCCCCTGGGTCTCCAGCCGCTGCCCTGGTCCGCGCGCCAACCAGAGCTGGCCCGACTCTCCTGCTGCCTCCAGCCCCGACAAAATCAGGGGCAGCAGTGCTGGGAGATCCTGGGCAAGTCGCTTCACCGCCCCGCTCCACGTGCCTCAATTTGCTTACCTGTAAAATGGGATGGGAACAGCCTCAACCGCCTGAGGCTGTGGGGAGGAGGGAGTGGGTTTAAAGAGTACTGGGCACGCTGTAAGCTCAGCGATTGTAGACAGTGCAGAACCCGCCGGGATGGGGTCACCATGGACCAGGCTGGATCCCTGACGCCTGATAGGCACACCCGAAGAGGGCTTGTGTCCATGTTCCTTGGGTGTGCTCAACGTTCCCCAGCCAAGCGGGTCCCGTTTCGAGGTCTCAGGATCTTTGAAGGGAGGAGCCGCTAAGACGAGCATGTAGCCCCTGAAAAATGAATCCCCTCTCCTGGCTTCCCCTACCCTCACCTTGAGAGTTGCCCTGGTAATCCCAGGCTGTGAGGCAAAGATTTGTTTCTTCGGTGGCAAAGATGTAAATTCCTCCCACCCCAAAGTCGGACTGTGCCCCATGGGGGTTTCAGCTGGATTTTCTGGGCTGCGGGTCTCCTGTTGACTTTGTCTTATCTTCTTTCCCTCTCCCCTAACTCCTGCAGTTATGGAGTGCATATTTATTGAGCTATACTATTTACATATGTGGTAACCCATTTAAAAAATGGTGAGGCGAGCCCGGCGCGGTGGCTCAAGCCTGTAATCCCAGCACTTTGGGAGGCTGAGGCGGGTGGATCACGAGGTCAAGAGATCGAGACCATCCTGGTCAACATGGTGAAACCCCGTCTCTACTAAAAATACAAAAAATTAGCTGGGCATGATGGCGCATGCCTGTAATCCCAGCTACTCAGGAGGCTGAGGCAGGAGAATTGCCTGAACCCAGGAGGCAGAGGTTGCGGTGAGCCGAGATCGCGCCGTTGCACTCCAGCCTGGGTAACAAGAGCGAAACTCCGTCTCAAAAAAAAAAAAAAAAAAAAAAAAAAAAAAAAAAAAAGGCGGTCCGGGGCAGTGCTGTAATCCCAGCACTTTGGGAAGCCGTGGTGGGCGGATTACTGGAGGCCAGGAGTTTGAAAGCAGCCTGGCCAACATGATGAAACCCCATCTCTAATAAAAATACAAAAATTAGCCAGTGTGGTGGTCTATGTCTGTAATGCCATATGCTCTGGAGGCTGAGGCAAGAGAATTGCTTGAACCCGGGAGATGGAGGTTGCAGCGAGCTGAGATTGCGCCACTGCACTCCAGCCTGAACAACAGAAGGAGACTCTGTCTCAAAAAGAGCAACGACACAGAAAAAAAGGGATAGTCGGTCATGGTGGCTCAGGCCTGTAATCCTAGCACTTTGGGAGGCCGAGGTGGGTGGATCACCTGAGGCCAGGAGTTCAAGACCAGCCTGACCAAATGGTGAAACCCCATCTCTAAGAAAAATTTAAAAATTAGTCAGGTGTGGTGGCGTGAGCCTGTAATCTCAGCTACTCAGGAGGCTGAGACAGGAGAATCGCTTGTACCCGGGAGGCAAAGGTTACAGTGAGCCAAGATCCTGCTGCTGCACTCCAGCCTGGGCAATAGAGCGAGACTCTCAAAACAAGAAACGAAACCAAACAAAAACAGTGAGGCGGATCTGTTGCGATGATGACTCTGAAACACCCTCCCTGCCTCTGCAGAGTGACTGAAGGAAGGGTTAGTCCCATTTTACAGATCCAGTAGCTGAGACTCAGAAGAGAGGTAAGTGGTTCCAGGTCACGGAGCAAGCAGGTGAAAACCCAGGTCACCTGCCTAGCTCTGAAGACAGTGGTGTTGAGGCTTCGCTGAGCACTTCCTATCCCACCCCTCTCCCTGGGAAGGGCTGTTTAAATTTTCAGGGAAGTCACCAGCTTCCTGCTTCCTCCTGAGTATTGGTGGGGGTGGGGCGCTGAGAAGCCAGCTTCATTCCCAGGGTTCTCCAGCAGTGGTTCATCTGGAGGGAGGGGGTCCTGTGTGGACCCTTGAGTGAGATGTGGTTTGGCGACCCCCACGACTCTGGCGTTCCTGTTCTGGGTAATTTTCCATCGCAGCCACTTCTGAGAGAGGAACAAAGGGAGCTGCATGTCCAAGCCCAGGGACTTGGCTTTGTGGCTTCTCTCCCCCACACACCCCTTCTAACGTGCACCAGGAATTTTACTCCTGCTTAGAGTGTGGTCAGACCATATCTGGAGTCTGAGCAAGGCAGTCTGCGGGATGGCTTGACTCATTAAGGCCCAGGGTCCAGAGGGCCTGAGGCCCAGGCCCTGATGAATTTCCTTGGCTGCCCTCCACCAAGGGTGCTTCTGTCTGCTTGCATACCTCTGGAGACAGGGAGCTCACTGTCTTATCACATTCAGATAACTGAATGTTAATTCTGGTTTATTTCAAACCACCTCATTGGGACCCCTTCCCTCCTTCCCGCTCCACCTGGCTCTGTCCCTAGGCCACAGAACTGGGTATGGTTTCCAGCCCTCTTCTCAGCAACGCTGCCTGCTCTGATCTAGTCCTAGCTGTCACGGTCCAGGGCAGCCTGGCTCTGATCTAAAGCTCAGCCAACTCTTCCTTGGGGCCCCTGTCTTGGTCACTCCCAGGAACAAGCACCAAATCTGGGGTCAGACAGCCCTGGGGCCAGTCGCCCTTGGGTAACCGCTTCCTCTGTCAGGAGCCGCACTGGGTCTACTGGGGTCCTATCTCTACGGCTGGATCTGGGAGGAAACCAGATGAAGACGAAAGGAAATTCCAGCCTTTCTTCGGTCACTCCTGCCTTCAGCAGGCCAATCTTCTGGTTTCTTTGGAGGGAGGGCAGGCGGATTTCCACATCGTCAGCCTCCCAGCCAGCCGGCGAGGAAGCATCATTAGGCCCACGTTACAGATGAAGGAAACCGAAGCAGAGCGATGTAACTGGCCCAGCAGTTACCTCAGGTCTGCTCACAACACAGCAGGCCTGGGACCCCTGTAACTTGGGTCCTGGTCTGTCCTGTTCTCAAGAGTGAAATCTAGAAGTGAGGAAGCTTTGGTTTGTGATGGGCCCGGGCCTGGGGCTTCCTCTCAGCTCCTCGCTTGGTGCTGGAGAAACAGAGGCCCAGAGAGAGGACTTGGTTGACCCGCGTTCCTGCAGCAGCCGGCCAGAGGCCGCTCTGCCATGGTGCGCGAGGCTGGATAAAATGAAAGACTGGAGGGCGCTCTGGAGGAGGGGCCCGCTGAGGGCAGATTGGTGGCGCAAACCGGGAATCAGGGGTCCCCGCTCTCTCAAGGTGGGGCGGGGCCGTCTATCTGAGAGGGCGGGGCCTCCCCCGAAAGGCCCCGCCTCCGCCTCCGCCTCCACCGCCCAGCGGAGCCGCTGCCGCGGGAACCCAGTTTCCGAGGAACTTTTCGCGGGCGCCGGGCCGCCCCCGAGGCCAGGGCAGGACACGAACGCGCAGAGCGGCGGCGGAAGCTGCGAGCCGGGGTCGGCGGCAGTCCCTCGGAAGGGCCGTGCGCGGCGGCGGGCCCGGCGGGCCTCCCGGAGGAGGCGGCTGCGCCATGGACGAGCTGCCCTTCAGCGAGGCTGTTTTGGAGCAGGCGCTGAGCGAGCCGTGCGATCTGGACGCGGCGCTGCTGAGCGACATCGAAGGTGCGTCAGGGTGGGCAGGGCTTGAAGCCGCGCCGGTGGCGCGAGTCGGGGGCGCGCAGGTGGCTCCCCGGCCTTTGTCTCCCCCCGGGCGCCAGCTTCGTGCTGTGCTCGCGCGGGGCTTCCCGGCGTCTCTGAGCTGCGCGCCATGGCCCTTGGTGTCCCGGGCCTTGCCGAGCCTTCCTGGCTCCTTCCCTGGCTCCCGCCCTGGCGTCTCGATCCGCGCGCTCGGCGAGGACCCCCGGGCCGGGCCGGTGTCACTTGGCGGCTCCGGGCCAGGACACATGCGCCTCTACGCGTCCCAGGCCAGGTACCGCCCGGCCGGTGGCTGAGTCTCCAGCCCTGTGGCGGCCGCGGCTGGAGCTGGGGACCCGGGCGTCGCCGAAGCCCCGCCCCGGCCCCAGCCGTGACGTCAATGCGGGGTTACTCGCGGTCATTCCCTCCGGCCCGAGAGTTCAGCTGGGCGTCGGAGCTCGTGCGCATGCGCACGGGTGCAGCTCGCGCACTCGTCGGGCCTCGGGTCGGGTCCTCCGGGTCCGCGCTCATTCACTAACCGAGTGCCAGGCCCCGTCTTCAGCCCCGAGGGTTCACAGACCGCCCTGGGCACCCGCTCTTTTCGAGAACACCATCCCGCGGGAAACCAGCAAATAGATATTTAGTTGCACCTTGGGTGGAGCGGGGCGAGGGGAGGGCAGGGATGTGGCTACTTTGGGTAGAGCGTCAGGGACTTCTGGGCTGAGACCTGAGGGTCACCCCCAGGACCAGCAGGGAAAGATGGTTTCCAGGCCAGGGCCAGGTTTGGGCGAAGGCCCCGAGGCAGGGCCTAAGTGTGAGGGGTTAAAGGCTTGCAAAGGTTTCGGAGGGAGAGGACGCCCGCCGCCTTCCTCGGCCAGGGAAAGGGCGGAGCAGGCCCGGGGCACCGGCTTCCATCTTTGGAGCACCACTCGGGCTGTCAGGAGACGGGGTTTGGGGCCAACGGTGGCACCAAGTGCTAGTTAGGTGGCCCGTTGCTTCTATTTTGTAGACAGCAAAGGGAAGCCCCCAGCCAGCAAATTGCCTCCGTGGTTTCTGTGCAGGAGTTTTAGCAACACTGGCTGAGTTGCACTTGGTTGATGAGGAAACTGAGGTCGAGGTTGCAGGAAGAAGATGCCTAGACTCCCAACCTGAATGGACATGTCCGTGAAACCTGTGGTCACCCTGGGGCTCGCAAACAGATGCATCTGTGCCACCCCCACTCCTGCCCTACTGCAGCCTTGCAGATGAGCTCAGCTGACTGCCAGCCCCAGGAGCTTCCCAGCCCTTCCTTCTTCCCTCTGGGGCTGGGCTAGGGGACGACCCAAGAGGAGAGGCCCTGATTGTGAGGCTTTTCCAAAACAGCCTCCCCTACCCCTGGCAGGAGGGCTGTCCTTCACTGCACCCTGGAGAGATGGACCCTGAAATCCCAAGCCCTAGGGAGATCTAGGCCTGACTCAACTAGTTCCACAGCACAGGGCCCAGTGAGGGTCCAAGAGGCAGCAGGACCAAGCCCCAGCCAGACATGGGCTTTAGGGTCAGAACTTGAACCTGGATGCTCCTCACTTCCTCTGCCATCCCGCTCAAGCCCTCTCACCCTCTGAACCTTAGTTTCCACCTCCAGAAGAATGAGGATACAAACCCTCCCTTCATGGGCAGCTGGAGAGCAGAATCTGGGCTGGGCCAGAGGTCTGATACAGACCTTTCTTACTGACTCATGGGTAACATTGTCTCTCCAGACCCAAAGGCCAGCCATAGGCAGCTGTGTGGCCCACGCTCTAGTCTCTGAGAGAACCCCAGCGCCTTAAAGACTGGGCAGCCCCTTCTCACTAGGCAGGCTCAGCTTTACCCACTTCAGTAGAGGATTTTTCGGTTTTTATTCAAACTTGCTGTTCTTTCCAATGACACATCTTTTTTCATTGTAGAACAATTAGCAAGTGAAAGTGAGCAAAAAGAAGAAAATAACATCTTTAGACCAGGTGTGGGGGCTCACGCCTATAATCCCAGCACTTTAGGAGGTCGAAGCAGGAGGGACTACTTGTGTTCAGAGGTTTGAGACCAGCCTCGGCCACATGACAAAATCTTGTCTCTACAAAAATAAAAAAATTAGCTGGGTGCGGGTAATTTTTTTTTTTTTTTTTTTTGCCTGTTTTTGTTTTTACTGGAGGCTCAGGTGGCACATGACAGATCATAAAATGGCTTCAGAAGTAGGGGGCCGGGGGGAAACAAAAATAAACTGGGGGAACAGAAAAACAACCAGGAGGAGGTAAGAGCTGGCTGGTTCCTTCTCAGCCCGAGTTAGGGGAGGGAGTTGGTATCTCTGAACAGTAAGGATGGATCCCTTCCTTCGACCCTTGATAAGGGGAGGGAATAGAAAAAAAAAAGCAAAAGGATGTTGCTTTGGCCCTCCTGAGACTCAAGGAAAAGGTGAAAAGCTGGTGTTTTGATGCCATGAATCATGGGAAGGGGGAGCAGGGTACTGGGTAGGGTCAGTTGGAAAAACTGGCAGATACCAGATGGCAGCTCTGGTTGTCCTTTGAGTTGGAATCACTCCAGGATGGTAGTGGTGGGGTCCCCACTGTTGATAGGGCCTGAGGTCTCAGGGGCTGCGGGCTGCCGGGGGCCAGGAGGCTGCTGCCATCTTTGCTGGAAATACGGGTGGTTTCGTGGGCGCTGAGGCTCAGATCGGGAACCATCCGCGGAAGCTTGACTGGGCTTAGTCTCATGCTTGTAGTGTCAGCCATGCTGGAGGCTGAAGTGGGAGGACTGCTTGAGGCCAGAGCAAGAGGCTGCAGTGAGCTGTAACTGTGCCACTGCACGCAGCCTGGGTGACAGAGTGAGATTCTGTCTCAAATAAAACTTTAAACCTACCACCCAGAGATAAGCCCTGCTAATTGTGTGAAAGAGCTTTTCTTCTCTTTCTCTCTCTCTCTCTTTCTCTCTCTCTCTCTCTCTCTCTCTTTTTGGTTTGGGATGACTGCACACTCTTCATAAACTTTTTTTTTTTTTTGAGCCAGGGTCTTGCTCTTTTGCCCAGGCTAGAGTGCAGTGGCATGATCTCAGCTCACTGCAGCCTCTGCCACCCAGGTTCAAGAGATTCTCCAGCTGCCAGGTAGCTGGGATTACAGTTGTGCATCACCACGCCTGGTTAATTTTTGTATTTTTCATAGAGACAGGGTTTCACCATGTTGGCCAGGCTGGTCTCAAACTCCTGAGTTCAGGTGATCTGCCCGCCTCAGCCTCTCAAAGTGCTGGGATTACAGGCATGAGCCACCGCACCGGCCTTCATCAACTTTTTAAAAACAACTTCATTGAGGTATACTTTATATACCACAATATTTATCCATATTAAGTGTATCATTCAATGATTTGTCACTTTCTGAGTTGTGTGACCATTACTAGCTGCAGAACATTTTTATCGCCAAGTAAGATCCCTCCTGCTCCTTTAGTCACTTTCTGTTCCTGCTCCTGGCCCAGGCAGCTATGGATCTGTACTTTTAAAAATTAAAATAGGGTCCATTGGTTCACAGCAGATTGGAAGCTGCTTGGTTCCATGTCAACAGCCAGATGACAATCAGGCTCCCTCATTTCCCCACCTGATCCCCTGTCGATGGATACCTGGGTTGTTTTATCTTCATCAACTGTGCTATAGTGGACACCGAGGCCAGTCTTTGCCCAGTCCTCATTGTGTTCCTAGGATGAGGTTCTGGGAAGGGACTTGCTGGACAGAGATCGAGCCTGCTTTTGAAGCTTCTTCTACCAGGCATAGAGCTGAGCAGGTTTGTTAAGGGCTGAAGAGAGGTGATTTGGGGGTAGAAATGCCAGGTCTCTTGAGAGACATGAGGGATAAGAGGGGGCCAGGCCGGCCTTGAGTGCCAGAGTATAGAGCTGGGCTAGATGTGGGGGTCGGTCAGCAGTCGGAGCAGGGGCACGCCGTGCTTCAGCTCCCTCCGGCTGCCCGGGTGGAGGATCGTAATGTGAACAGAAAACACGAATTGAGTCCTTACTGTACTCCAGACACTGCTGATGATCTCACTTAATCCCCCAACAATCCCAAGTGGGTAGACATATGATGAAGATGACAGCCTTAAGGACCAAAGAGGTTAAGTGACTTGCCTGAGGTCACACAGCCAGATGATGGCAGAGCCAGGATTTAAACCCAGGCTGTGGGCTCCAGAACCTAGCTCTTAAGTTCTTAATCGCTGAGCTCCTAAGAATGGGGATGAGGGGTTGAGGGAGGCTGCTCCATGTGGGGCTGTGTCGGGGCCTGGGAGTGTGGGTCATAGAGGGGTCAGAGGTTATGTGGCCACCTCCCCGTCCCAGTCCAGAGTAGCGTTTGAGTCATCAGATTGGGAACTGACCCGGGGGAGCCAGCCAACGGTTTTGAGCCCCATCCGGTCCTGCTGCCTGCCATGGCCAAACGCTTGTCACGTGGATGGATTTGGGGGTGGAGAGTCCTTGCGTCTGTGGGTGAAGGCACCGCCCGGGCTGTAGTGTCCCTGGGTTTGAGTCCTGCCTCTGCACCAAGACCTCAGGCTCACCTGTCTCCTCCCGGCCCTCACAGTACCTTGCGACAGTGGGGAGCGATGGATCGGGAGAGCTGCCCTGTGCTTGCATTGGGGATTAGTATTAAGCCTGTGGCAGTCTTCACCTCCCTGCTGAGGATTCATTCATCCGATTTTGCACAAGCTTACGAGTGCAGAAGAGGCAGATGGAAACAGAGCTCTGGCCGAGAGCCTAGAAGGGGCCTCAGGGTCCCTTTCTTCTACCTGCACCCCGTCATGCCTGCTGTTGTCGGACCCCAGATGTCTGCCAAGCCCCGTCAGAGGCTGCTTTCTGGGAAACTCTTCCGGGCGTCACCTTGCCCTAAGCAGTGCATCCTCAGAGTTCTCCGGCCCTGATGTCCCTCCCAGCGTGCCCAGCCCAGCCACCACAGAGCCTGGCTTCCGGTCATGTGTCTGGCTGTTTTCTGGGTCCAGGCCAGCCCTGGT